ACGTCCCATCAGATAGGTGTATCAACAGAGGCTTCTCCTATGTTTACTGGTTTCGTGCTTGCATTAGTTGATCTATTGCAAGTAATGAACGAGTTTTGCGATCGTTTATTTTAACCTGAAGAATTTTCAAAACGCATTAAAATCACCCACGGCGTTCGGATTTGTCTGAACATGAAGTTGCAGTATCATAGACATTTATTTCTTAAAATTGGCGAGTTATATCGTATCGGCCTCTTTGGGTTTTGTACCTCTGTATATGGAAACGACTGTCATTGCACAAGTATTGCTGTATACTGTCCAATCTATGAAACATCGCAAGTCAACCACGACAAGACGTTAACGTTTGAATAAACACTAAAATATGGACTTTTCCCTTTTAACGTCGGCCTATCAGCTCGTGAGTTTTAGAACTGAATGCCAAGCAATTAATGTGGATAGAGGTCGGTATTATTAATGAGATATATCGTCTTCTTTGTTTGGTTTTACGACAGGGTTTTGATTCTTTCATCTGGAATAAACTGTCGCCATTTGTACGCTTTATAAAGCCCCCTTTGGCCTATAAAGGTTACTAGAGTATAAAACTGTTTGTGTGAAATGTAACATTTTCTCTGCATTTCCTTGACTGTTCCCTTGTATTATTTCAATACATTCTTCGTTTATTAGACGAAATGTCAACTCTTCTACAATAAATAACAAAACACAAAAATGCGTCTAAGAGCATATATTCTCATAAAATAAGTTAACTTAGGTTTATTGCACGTATAACATAATTCCTCCCAACAAAGATTTACAGATCTGCATTTCTATCTTCAAAATATCACATACATTTGTGGAAAAATTGTAGAACCATGATGGTTTTTGTATTTTATTACGTACTCCAAGCATGTGCATGACCTATTGACTATTCTACCTCGTGACGTAATTACACCTTAGCCCCTTTCTACCTTTTCTGTTGAGTCTACGTCCTTAAGAACGGCAAGGATTATATATTCACGAACATCATTCTAACACCTGCACCATGGGATTTGTGAATCGGCCATTTTCGTGATTACAAAACCAACATCTCGAATTGGTTTCTTCACTGTATACATATTGATATATTTGAGATGTGAAATCTTCTCCGCAAACATTCTGCCTCTTTGTCAGTTACCTTTCGTCTCTCGTAAACTGTCAACATGAGAACATCAATGTGTCTTAAAAAGGAATTTTAATTTCTATACAATTACTGGATATTACGGTTAATATAAAGCAAACTATCAGTATTGTAATTTTGAAAAAGGCCGATCCAGGACAAAAATTGGTCCAGTGTGCTTACCCTTAAAAACGAAAACTTTGTTGGTATCAAGTTAAGTGATTTTTTTCCCTGACTCAGGCATCACGTTTTTCATAAAACAAAACCCATTTTACTTACAACTTCTTTTACATTTTTGTTTTAAAAGCCTTATTCCAAAATTCTCATTTATATTTTGGTCCGTTTTTTACCGTTTTCTTTTCTTTTTAGCGGAATCAGCAAGAAAAAGTGATTTTCACCAAGTGACCGCAAAACAGCACAATAACAACAAGCAATGAGGTATACTTGTCGGACAGGCTGTGGATAACTGACAGCTAATAGAAGTAACAGTACTTGTAGATTTAAATTAAGATAAATTCAAATGTTGTGCATACAGTGGATAATCTGCGCGCTTCATTAAACAGTTGAAATCACAGGCTTACGACGTCATGCAGTGCATTTAGAAAGTAGACAGATGATTCAATTTATGTCTGTAAAATAAACCGTTAATCCTACATAACTTTAATCCTCCTTAAACCTGCCATTTAATGTATTCTGTAATCCTCATACATGTAGCAAACCGAATTAAAACGTTTCTAACTAAAATCACACATAATCTACGCTTCTGTATCACAGTTATATAATATGCACAATAAACACGGCTTTAGATTCATATAAAGAGATTTTATACTACATTACGTAGGTAGCTGTATTTCATACAGGAATAATTGGCAGGCTACAACGGGTAGCTGGATTTCATATATAGGACCGAAACGGGTTGCTGGATTTCATAAATAGGACCGGAATGGGAAGCTGGATTTTATATATATGACTGCGATAGGGCACTGTATTTCATATATAAGACTACAATGAGTCACCGTTTTTCATATCTAAGACTGCAATGGGTCGCTGGATTGCATACGCTTTAAGAAATAGATGGATTTTATGGTATATAATAGTTATCTAGATTTCAAACACTCAAAGAAATAGCTGGATTTCACGGGAAATAATTGACAGCTGGATTTCATAAGGAAATTTTCATACTGAAATATTAAGACATATTTTATATGTACATGGGCAATTCACAGACTTCTATGGGTTGTTGGATTTCATACAAACATAATAGTAATTTAAACTACAACGGACAACCGGATTTTAGAGGGAGTTTACAGTCCACACAATGAATACTGTTGCTGGATTTCATGTATAGAAACACAACGAATCACCCTTACATCTTAACGGGTGTAGAGGATAACAACGTACGGGAAAGTTACTACGTTTGAACTGTCTTCCAAAATTAACTATGCATTCGTGATAAACTTTCTAGTACTCTGACCAAGGGGATTCCATGAAGTATTGATAACAAGTTACATTGTAAAAGACTTAAACATTTTTGTTAAAACATCTGAAAAAATTGCCTGCATTCGTCACTAACAGGTAAATGTAATCAGGTTATATATTTTTTATATGCATATTACTGGCAATGTTTTTGGCGTCTTTAAGCAAAAAGCATGTTATTTAAACTATTAAGTAAATAGCTATTGCTTATCTTAACGATGAATTACATACGTTAATACAACTTTTCATGAACTGTACGCCACATTTAGTAGTTGTTAAGGCGTAAATAAGTTATTCAAGCTAACTGCATTTTCCTGTTAGGTTTAATACATGCTTAGTTTCAACGTTTCTATACAGTTATATAGTAGGAGGAAAACGTGTGGATATTGATAACGTATATAGAATAACTAAACAATAGTGTATACAATGTAAAATGTTATACAAATAAATACCATGTTACAAGATGGCAGTGTTGTAAGGATAGAAGGAGAACGCAAAACAGCCTACAATGACCTTTCGTTACAATTATACATTAACCAACGAGGAAAACTTTCTACACAGTTCCCATGGTAATATAATACCTGGTCCCCACATAACATTAAAACGCAACAATTTCTATACAAAATGGACAACAATCGATTCTCTACACACTTCCAGTAATATCGTTATAGGTATTTACAACAACGTATCGGGGACTAACATCTACAAACAATCAGGTCCGGAATCAATGATGATCACTATAACAGGAATGTAACGATGGATATCACTAAATACTCCAGGAATCAGTATGAAATACAGACATGTAGTTATCTTAAATGTACTGTAGCTGTGTTAGCATTCAACCCAGCTGTAATGAAGTCTAAAAGCTAATAATCTTTATCGTTCAATTGCACGAATTGATCGTTATGTTACTATAAGCTAGTCGACATTTACTTTCCTACCAAATCGCACTGAAAATATCAGGAATGAAAGTTCAGGTGGAAATCTGTCATGATTTTAATAGATTTCCAATATAATCATACGTACTTATATTACATAATATAAATCCAATGGTTTAATTATCATGGTCCACAGTTGCAATACAACAGTTTTTTTTTTCGAACTCGTTCCTATTTCAACAGTTACTCGAAAATTTAGCTTTCATCCAATTAGTTAGTTGTATGGCATATAGTTGTTAGTGTTGCTACGAGATTTAAAATGCAAAATATCTCAAATGACAACAAACTAGTCCTAGCCAATGTTCCTAACTTCGGATTTCTATAAATCTTACGTAAAGTACGGTAAAAACGAACACGAGGTTGTAAACATATATGAAACTTAAAATGAACCGATATAAATATGGCATAGACCAGAGTGGTCAATATAGTCTTAACACAACATGCAACAAAATCATGTCTACCGAATCCGGTGTACGTTATACCAAGAGTGCGCCTTCAAACTGCACTAGATAAATGAGGATCGCATTGGTTTGTATCAGACAAAACTACACTGGGTTGGAATGCTAACATTCACAGAACGAAAAGACAAAGTGCACAAAGACTATTAAATGAGCACTTGACCTACGTCATGGATACCACATTTATATAATATACCATGTGACACGATATACTTATCACACGATCTATGCATGGATATCACGTGATCGACGTCATGCACACCACATGACATAAACATGGCCTCAACATGACCTAAGACACGGGCATCATATGACAACGCATGATCAGGGAGAGTAACACTGTACATAAGGTGAATGTAACATCAAATCCTAACAAGTTCAACCTCACGTCTGTAGCCATTTGAGATACGCTAGCTACTGGGAGAATGTTTACATAGCACATCGGTCTGTTCCATCATCACAAGTTTGGGCAGAATTCTGAGCAATATCATAATACCACATTCCTGTTCTGTAGTCTATGTATGTCACATAAAAGCATACGAAGTTGTTAAAATTATTAATTTGTTCACATTGTTATATGAACATATATAGCTGGATTATGTCGGATTACTTATAATCGTGGATTTGTTCCCTCAGACGGAAAATCTCTGATGCTTCTATGAAGCAGTTTGTGGCATGTCTGTATCACAGTTGAAACACAAGCGCGTCTCTCCGTATGTAATGCACTGCTACCAGAACCTAGCGTGACACACCACATGGTATATGGAACAACGCAACTATATGCCTCTACGAACTACGGGGTCCCCTCGTTGAGCCTCGCTAGTCTATGCACATACCGATGACTAGCTCACTAGTGCTATGACATCCTCCACAACAGGCAAATGTCCATCACAACCAATCAAACCAAACGAAACAAGAGTTGGCAACTTAACATATATATCAGCATTAGGAAAATAAATTTTATTTGGTAGAGATTTAGAAGCAAAATATCCATTTTCTTTGAAATATAAAAATATTTTTTTTTATATATTATATATTTCTTTACAAATTAACCATTTTATTTATAAAGCATATCAATAAATCGAATATCATCATACATAATATACAGCTGCACCATACTGACGTAGATACTTTTACATTTTAAATGCTTGGTATTTATCTCATAATATTTTTCTTCTTAAACTATGGATTATTTGCCTTATCAATTTGGATTTGTTTGGCTTTAAAACAGCAGTATTGTTATATTCACATAAAAATCATGAAATGTAATTCTACCAATAGAATCTAAATGCATTGTATAAGAAAAATATTTCATATAAAGATTTAAATATGCAACGAAATATAGATATTCATCTTTGGTACGTATCACGATGTACATGTATATCCAGTAGAATATTACCCTTTTCACCGCTTAAAATATGTATGATGATATTTTTTCGATAAGGACGGAGGAAAAATAGTCCTCTGTCAATGGAAGGAAATCGTTTCAGTGTATGACAAACATCGTTTTCAAACAATTCGACCAAATACTGGTCTAAATAACGTGAGCAATTGAAATACTGAGTACGGGTTAAAGCTTGGGTTTGATTGGTCGATCAGGTCTGTTTTCTCTGCTGTATAGGGAACAACGAGGTTTGCGGTTGTTGTTGATCCATTCCAGCAGCAACATAGGAAAACACACACAGGACTGCATAGCAGATTTGGTCAGCCTGAAGTCACAATTGAATAAGAAATATTTCAAACTCACATTTGCAAAAAGACGAATATCATATTTAAAATCAACATGTTTGGCAAAAAGTACATTTGTTTCAATACCTTGATGAAAATGTTTCAGAACTGAACACAAATATCACAGATGAGCTATTATGAACAATTCATCAATTTCTGTTATGAACTGAACACACATATCACATATAAGCTATACAAATTTCTATTATTTAGTTATAACCTTTAAACAATGGTGCATGCAACGTTCTAGAAATTACGATACAACATTTATCATATCAATCATATGTAATGAAAAAACCATGACCCGGCTTTCCGAGTTTTTGCTTTTGAAGTCGTTATATTGAAATACTTTTTATTCATTAAAAGTGGAAAAGTAACAGAATGATATGTCACTTCTTATTAATAAGATAGAAAAAAATGTTATAGAAGATGATTATAAGAACAGACAAAAACATTCCCATTACATTTTGAATTATTGTTAAAAGAGAGGAAAATATATCATTCTATTGAACACATTTTTAACATGCGAGACAAAGTAATCTATTTTTAACTCTGTTAGTGAAAAGTGTATTATTTCAAAAACGTTTAAATATTATTCAGTAGTGGGTAAGAATTCATTAAGCGAATGAGAGAGGGCAGAGTTGTTCAAAACCTGCTTTATATATTGACAATAAATATGCCAACTTGGCCTCTTAATACTGATGAAAATGAGAGGGACTTGAAATATAATTAAATGAGGACAAGATCACCTTTATCATATCATATATAACATTCAATTTTGAACAACTCGGCAGAATGATGAAGTATTTAATCCAGAATAAACAGAAACTGGAGTCTGTTTCTCAGTCAATGACGTTCTGACTATATATAACACAGACTAGCACTAGCTACTAAGCGCCAAACCGTTACATCCCTATTATTTATGCAATTAAGAATAAAACCTGATGCATGCATTTCTAAAGCATATCACCTTCTCCCAGGATAGAATGTTTGGTTATTATTAGCAGGTTAAGACGCAGTTTCCGATTGAAAAATGGGTAAAGCACTTTCAAGCAATGTATGAATGATAACATATTAGTACACAAATGAAATTGCATTCAACTTGGAATATGGTTAAGCAGTAAGGCACTAAGATGCTAAAAGAAACTGAGCAGCAAAATGCCTACTCTCAGGTGCCACTTGTTCAGTGAGTGACCTCATCTTAGCATGCTGGACGGCAAAGATTCTGTGTATCATCAAAGCTATAGGATTGGCCTGGGAACAGGAAACAAAACAATGTCCATCAATATCTCTAATGATTCTCTTTTTGTCTCACTATCATGGTCAACGAATGATGGCATTTCCTCAAATTTTGGTGTGAGGTTATTACAACAACAGTACCGTCAATTTCATCACGTTTCATTCTTTAACACAAAAAATGCAGATTTGATATTTATTTTACTTCCGAGCGCGGTCTTTTAATGTCGATCCTTATTTCAATTTCCTAGAGTTATTCATGGATGATAAAGTAGTCAATGTAATTAACCATTGTGATGTTGAATTTAGTAATGATCAGAAAAGAATAATTTAAACTTGTTCATGTTTCATTGAGGACTTAAAGCGGTTCTTTAAACATCACACGTCAACATTTCTACTGTTGCTTCACAGAAATATTGTATTGTACTAGAATAAAGTTCACCGTTTCTACTGTTGCTACACAGAAATATTATATTTTAATAGAATAACGTTCATCGTTTCTACTGTTGCTACACAGAAATATTTTATTTTACTAGAATAACGTTCACCGTTTCTACTGTTGCTACACAGAAATATTTTATTTTACTAGAATAACGTTCACCGTTTTCAAGAAAAACCTTACACAGGTTATGGTAATTTTGATTCATAATTATATTTTTTTCTTGTTCGTAGCTGTGAGGGAACATACGAACATATCCATTGTTTTACATAAAAACGCCCTCCCGTCCGTATCTAAAGCCCGGAAAAGCTGGTAATATGCGCGCAACTTTTATTTATCAGTCACGATTTGATAAAGTCCATCTGTAGCATTATCCACTGATAATACAATTATATGCATTCATTATAACACTGAATTAGAGTTTGTATAACTGGCGGGTCAGAGTAAACTGACTGTTAATGGCCAGTGATTACATAATAATAGTACAACATCTATGTGCTAGGAGAACCAAACAAAACATTAATAATAACTATCCCAATTCAGAAAATTAATTTAGCCGAAAAATAAGCAGTAAATCAAAAGCTAGAAAATCAGCAAATCTACAAGTAGTATCTGTTTTATTTATATTCACACACCATATCATTTTAAATCATAAATATCATTAAATTATCTGCATTTTGAAGTCTCAATACGAGTTCATACTAGCGCTATGTAACTTTAACTTAAATATCTTTAGTTATAGAAAACGAGCCGATGGCTACAAACATTTGTTACAAGAAATACCTTCTTTAGTTGGTGAGATCGTGAGACTGGACAACAGAGAGAGAATCAAAGCAGCTTTGCGCGTAAGTAAGAAACAGGATATGCATAATACAACACTATAAGATCGTTTAGAATGGCAGACAGATACAAATGATAATCTACATCATGCGGCATCACTGTAATTCTAAACACAGAAAAACTCACTTTTCTTTATGTACATTATACAACACTATAGCTATCTGACACTTCATGCAAACAACGAATGAAAGAAATAAAATTATAAATCTACCACTTCAAACAAAATAGTACTGTATTCTGAATACTCACCATTCTGGACTTGAACTTGTGTAACGTTACTTGCCGATTTTTGGTATCTGCAATTACGTGAAATTAGAAATGTGTCATAAACAGTAATCTGCATATTACCAACCAACAAAATATGTCATATTTATATGTTATGTTTTTTAAAAATGATTTAAGAAGGCTTTGTGTAATGAACACATATAAAAGGATGGCTTATCAAAGTTAAATTCATGTGCCAAGGAACTACAACAAAATTGTAACACAATTGTTGTAATTACTAGCACAACTTCAAACAAATTATAACATAGAAAGCATAATGTGTAAGGGTTATTTTTCAGTGGGCAAAAGCAAACAAGTATTTTGATACATATAATAAAAGTTCATGACATGCTTGGAAAACATGTTACTAGTAACATAATGTAAAAGAATACAATACTGCACTAGGGTACGGAATTAAACAAATCCCAGACAATCGGTAACGGGTTGATATTTTATCTAAGATTGTATTTCATAAGATTTTAAAAGAGAGCATGCCGAAGAAAAAAACACTGGAATGAATCATGCAGGGGACTCTTTCACATCATAAAATACTATAAAGGGGGGAAATTCATGTAAAAATATATAAAATTCAAAACGATCAATTGACATTAATTATTGATAAATAAACAAAACTGATGTTTATAAATAATAAAAAAAACGGAGTTTTATAATTATTGAATGTAGTTAATTGTTATTTCAAAAATTATTTTACACAAGTTTCCATTTCATATAAGATTTATGCAAGATATTTTCTTTACATTAAAGCAAGACTCTGGTAAATTAAATATAGAATTCGCGATAAGTTTAACGAATCGTTAATGAAATGGAAACAAATTTAAATTCTTTTTATCACAAGATGCTTTTACCAATATTACAAAAACGTGTTTGAAATGAAAAAAATCTGCGATCTTGGCTAATCTCGATTGTGATGTCAAAATATAATCTGTAGTCTGTGACCCAATTTTATCGGATAAGTTTATATATAAATATATGATATAGGTGCACTCCACCCCCAATTAATATCCAGAACTTCCTCAACTAAAGTATACGGTAAAACAGAAATCTAATGGGGATGAATTTTAATTAAAAGCAAAATTATAAGCTAAACAAAAAACAGATTTTTTCTACTGATTTGATAATGATTGAAGTAGGATATGAAATTCACGAGCAAAAACGACAATAACGGTAAGGGTTTGGATAAACAAAACACCACTTTGACAGCAGTACACAAGTATCGTCCAAAAGGCTAAGAAATAATTTTCTAAAACTATGTCATTACTTGGAGTTTTAAAGGTTAATACGAGTATCAATCTTTGGCGTAAATAATAAGATATTGAGTTGAAATTTTACAACAATTTGGTATTCCCATCAAAAATCATATTGTATCTACAAAACCTTCCGACTTCTAGAATCGACCTGAAATCTTTAAGTATCAATGCCATAAAATAGTTTTTATATAATAGTATTGTGAAATATATATTTATCAAATTGCATATGTATATGTTGCATTTTGGGTAAAATATTGACACCCATTTCGAGTTTAAAAGCAATTATTGTAAATGTAAGTGAAAATACACTCTTCTCTTGAGTAAGATTGACAAAACTATGAACCAGTTATCTAATACTTATTTTAATACGATATACACCCTCTTATTTTAATACGATATACACCCTCTTTTTTTAATACGATATACACCCTCTTATTTAAATACGATATACACCCTCTTTTCTTTAAATAATGTGAAGTTACCGAACAGTTCCGTATATTTTTTCTATTTCCTTTAATAAAGGCTTTGTATGCTTTTCTGCTTACATTATAAACTGAATAAGTTAGAAATCGTGTGTAAGTTCTAAACTGTAAAAAAAAGAGTTAAAAATCGCGCGCAAGTTCTAAACCGTAAAAAACACCAACATGCAGCCACTATATAACATGAAGACATAACTGAACCATGACGACTGTAATCATGACGACTGTTTTAACAAGAAACATGCCAAAGACTCTGGTAATATACACCAATTTGAAATAGTAATACAATGCCTTCAATAAATCAGTTTTGTTTGAACATTTTGAAATATGAAATTTTGCAGATTTTAACAGCGTAAAATATTTTGATTTGGAACTTCGTTTTTAAATAAAGTAATATTTATATATAATATGTTTTCGATTTATCATCAGATAATTTGAAAGCACGAAGAAAATTACAAGCGTATGTGAAGATTTAATAAATATGAATACAGTCATGCATCGTTTGCAAGTAGTAAATGTTAAAATAAACGTAATTCAAAATAGATACGCCATTGAATGGTTAAAAGTAAAATCTGTTTCACGGATGTCAGCCAAGTGAAGTTGTTCTCAGAGTTTATAATCTTTTACAAATAGCTATGCAATAAGTAGGACAACTCTTATCAATCGATCTTCCAATTGAATGAAGTTTTAAAGAGACAAACAAAAACATACAACTCCTGTAATTAAAAAAGTTTATTTCTAAACAAATTGTACTTTATTTTCTGATTAATGTTTAAATACAAAATGTACTGTTATATAAATAACCCGAATATTTTTCATACACAAATTCTTCTCTCCGATCAGATTGGGAATTTCGTTTTCTGCAGTATCATCTCCATCACAATACTTACCTTGATATAAATGCTTTTGGTTTATTTTTGTAGTGAAATTCAGTATATTTTCAAAAATAAAAGTTCCATGCATGTTAATACTGGTGAAGGCATTGTTAATGATTTGACAGGTTAACTATGTTCACAGGTCTACCACATCCAAGGCAAGCAGCATATACTTACTACTACACCAACGAGTAAATAGGATCAAAATCTAAAAGTAAAAAACTTGGTGTGCAACGAGCCATGACCTTACCAAATTCCTCTAGAACAAATATGCCGCCTTTCTGCGTGAAACATTTCTTGATTCGACCTAGCTCAATAAATGACTGAAATAAAAACGTTGAAAGCAACTTAACGATTAAGTGGGTGACACGTATTTAAACTGAATTTTCTTTTCTGACCTATATATTTCATAAAGTGATTAGGTCAGAAAAATGTTATCCAGAAACTCAACGGAAAACACAAATGTTACTGATCTAATTGTCTCTGTTCCAGATTTGGTAAGGAGAAAAAACATCACTAATAAAACAGAATCAAAACAACACATGGAAAAAAAAACCAAAAAAACTAAAAACAAATTTGGATGCCAATTGAATAATAATAATGATTAAATCTGAAAAAAACTAATATGCTCACAAATTGAAAGAAACAGAAAAGTGCAGACATACTAAGTGCCACAAGACGCTTGTATAGTCAAACAAAAGACAAGGTTGACAACAACAGTACAGTAACTACAGGGCTACTGGCCACTACGATGGAGGGACTGGCCGCCAACTTGGCGGCCGCAGTGTGGTACGGTGGTGAGTACAGTTACCTCAAAGTCCTTTTATCACCCCGGGTTGGTGTATGGAGCGAGCGCAAGGAAGGAAGAAAGATGAAAAAAAATTAATGCCATTACCATAAAACATCCAATCACCATCACAACATCACCAATGCAGCAATATATATATACATAAAAATATATCACAGTTGGCAAACACTGAGTCTTTATTAGGGTAGCTATCTTTCTTCGACTGGACGGTTGTATCCATACGTGTGGAAACCGCTGAAAATCACCTGAAATTATCTGTTCATACCATAGACTTCCAAGGTTATCATTACATATTGTATTGTAACAGGTGCAGGTGCAATAATCATCAGGTTTATAGGTCACAGCAGCTATAGCAGACACCTTCAAAAACATCACTGTTATCAGCTGTATTGTGATAAACTTGTGCACTTTGCTGACAAAGGAAAGTTGAGGACAATTATCACTATTATTTTATACTGGTGTAATTGATACAAATATTTGTAATCAATTTTTTTTTTTTAGCAATGAATCTGAAACAAAACTACCCTAATATCAGCCAGATCAAGCAATTTCCAAGGCAACATGCAAACATAGGCCAACAACGAATCTATATTGTAGTTTTAAATCGACAATTTGTAATAGGCTAGCTGACAGTATTCAAACTGGACTGAGATGCTGGATATCGTTTTTGATACGGAGACATGCAGTGGAGGAACAGTGACGTTTCAAACAGATTAATTTAATTAAATCTGATCATTACGTGGAGGGTTGAAGTGACAGTGAGATTTGGATAGATAATATGTAGGACGATGCTAATATCTTAGCAGAAACATATTTAACAGAGGACTGGGAAATTAGACTCTCAGCACGATCTCAATCCAGCCAAAAAATAATGACAGATTAAAATGTTGTGGCTGCTTTCATCAAATTGACATGATGATAGCAAACAAAGAACTAAAAATTCTAAAGGCTAAGCAAGGCTCTATATGCAACAACGGACAAATCTAACGCGTACATTATACATCATACAGAGGCAGGATAGTAGATGATCTATAGTTTTCGTAAACTGTAATCTAACTCTCTTCTCGTATGTTGTCGTATATTTTAAGTGGAAATCTGTTTTTTCAAATTTGTAAATGTGCAAGACTGAAAGCTTATTTATGTTTAATTTTGACATACTACTGTGTAACATGAAAAGTTTACCGGTACTGGCGAGTGCATAATGTTATCGGCTTATTGAGTCCAGCTGTCCAGATCATTTACAGGACAAGTGATGAGACAATGTAAAATGAAACTTTGGTACATGTAGCTAATGAAGCTGTTTGCATCGTTCTTCCTCATTGTCATTGTACAAATCAGTGATATGCTAACTATACATATCCTGTAGAGTAAGAAGAAAATCTTGTATATCTTTATTCAGGTGTAGAGCTCCTCAAACGTAATATATCCTGTTACTTCACTATCATTGTACCAACAAGAGCTAGATTCCATGCAGCTCTGAAGTAGTGCTGGTATATTCACAAAGTGTAGAATTTGCAAAGGAAAAAAATAAATGCAATCTTTAGTTTTGAGTTAGATCTTACAATAAGTCTGGAATATTTTCGCTGCATTGTTGAATTTGCGTTTGAATCGTTTTGCGAACTGCGCGAACATAATATCTTCGCGAAAATTACTTTTTATACAGTACTCGATTGATGAGATAAATCTTTAAACTTTAATCAATATACAACACGGAGTTTACATGGGTAATTGAAGCTCCAATAAGTATATGTATCTATAAAAGGTTCCTTAATGTACAGTAACAGGTAATTCCGCGAAAAATATATAATTAACACTAGTAGGTTGTTAACCCTTTCACCCCTATTTAACTTTAGTAAACCCTACCATGCAATGATCTGGATGAGTCCATTATGGTCTACAGTGGTTAAAGGGTTAACAAGCTCCAAGAGTATATTATTCATGTTAATGGTGAGCACTTAATTATATGTACACATGTCAAACTGAAAAATATCAGTTTTCATTGAAATGTTTTATATGATTTATTAAATCAATCGTTATCCTCATATCTGTATCTCTCCTTTATATTTTATTTTATAGGATTTAACTGCCTGGAGTCCTTCATCAGTAGGATGAACTACAGAAACTAGGGGGGGGGGGGGGGGGGGGGGGGAATGCAGGTACACATCAATAGATCAATAATCATGCAGGACGATTGGGGGAAGGTAAAGCTGTCTATGGGTTATGTTACATGCTAATCATGCTTGGTTAATTATGTAAACATAAAACTGGGTTCTGATATCATACTAGGTCATTACAATGTACTTGTTGACATCGTTTCTATCTATTTACTTATATTTCTACTGCATGCTTGTGCAAACTGCTTACTAAAGGACGATATAGGCAGTTATGTTGAACTGAACATGTCAAAGATGTCAACACCGGTACCATTGAATAACTGACCCAGGTTTATGTTAGAATCGTAAAGTGAAGGTCACATGCAAAGCAGGTCATTCCTGATAGATAGAACCGGGATACACCAGAACAGGTTCAGTTTTATTGTTGGGGTGGGGGTGGGGGTGGGGGTGGGGTGGGGTGGGGGGGTTAAAAAAGAATGGTCATCTGTCGGTACTTTAGTTGCTGGCTATCTCAACTAACGGTGTCGCTTATCAATATTTAGAGTGTATTAGTGAGCATTTTGACAAGGGAAGTAATTTATAAATACCACAATGCATTAGTGGCTATATCAGTAATCATGGTCATTTCTCAATACCACAGGGTATCAGTGACTTATTCAGCGAGTGATGTGAGTCCTAAATACTGCAGTGTTTTGTTGGCTATTTCAGTGAACAGTCATTTATCAATAACAGTGAAATTGTGGTTATTTCAGCAAGGGATATATTCGCAATGATAGGGTTCAAAGTTCAGTCTATATCTACTGTTCAGTCTTTTTTTAAAGAAATGTGAAGCCTGAAAGTTTATCATGCTAAAAAAACAAATAACTAATTTCCCACAAGAAACCGCTATTACAGACTGTCGATTTTAAATACTAGACTGTCACTGTTAAATATTAGATGTAGGACTGTCACTTTTACATAATAGATGTCACTGTTAAATACTAGATGTGAGACTGTCATTTTAAAGTACTAGATGTCACTGTTTTAGTAGGACTTTCTCTGTTTTAATGCTACATAGTAACAGGTTTTGGTTACATAGTAACATGTTTTGGCTACAAAGTAACAGGTTTTGTCTACATAGTAACAGTTTTTGGCTACATAGTAACAGGTTTTGGTTACATATAACAGGTTTAAGCTACATACTAACAGGGTTTGGTTACATAGTAACAGGTTTTGGCTACATAGTAACAGGTTTTGGCTACATAGTAACAGGTTTTGGCAGGGATCACTAATACTAGTCACGTGTCTGTCACTGTCACTGGTACAGGAATCACTAATACTAGTCATGTGTCTGTCACTGTCACTTGTACAGGGATCACTAATACTAGTCACGTGTCTGTCACGGTCACTGGTACAGGGAGCACTAATACTAGTCATGTGTCTGTCACTGTCACTTCTACAGGGATCACTAATACTAGTTACGTGTCTGTCACTGTCACTGGTACAGGAATCACTAATACTAGTCACATGTCTGTCACAGTCACTGGTAGAGGGAGCACTAATACTAGTCATGTGTCTGTCACTGTCACTTGTACTGGGATCACTAATACTAGTTACGTGTCTGTCACTGTCACTGGTACAGGGATCACTAATACTAGTCACATGTCTGTCACTGTCAGTGGTACAGGGATCACTAATACTAGTCACACATCTGTTACTGTCAGTGGTACAGGGATCACTAATACTAGTCACGTGTCTGTCACTGTCAGTGGTACAGGGATCACTAGTACTAGTCACACATCTGTCACTGTCAGTGGTACAGGGATCACTAATACTAGTCACGCGTCTGTCACTGTCAGTGGTACAGGGATCACTAATACTAGTCACGTCTCTGTCACTGTCACTGGTACAGAGATCACTAATACTAGTCACGTGTCTATCACTGTCAGTGGTACAGGGATCACTAATACTAGTCATGTGTCTGTCACTGTCAGTGGTACAGGGATCACTAATACTAGTCACGTGTCTGTCACTGACACTGGTACAGGGATCCCTAAAACTAGGCATGTGTCTGTCACGGTCAGTGGTACAGGGATCACTAATACTAGTCACATGTCTGTCACTGTCAGTGGTACAGGGATCACTAGTACTAGTCACACATCTGTCACTGTCAGTGGTACAGGGATCACTAATACTAGTCACGTGTCTGTCACTGTCACTGGTACAGGGATCACTAATACTAGTTACTTGTCTGCCACTGTCAGTGGTACAGGGATCACTAATACTAGTCACATGTCTATCCCTGTCACTGGTACAGGGATCACTAATTCTAGTCACATGTCTGTCACTGTCAGTGGTACAGGGATCACTAGTACTAGTCACACATCTGTCACTGTCAGTGGTACAGGGATCAATAATACTAGTCACGTGTCTGTCACTGTCAGTGGTACAGGGATCACTAATACTAGGCATGTGTCTGTCACTGTCACTGGTACAGGGATCACTAATACTAGTCACGTGTCTGTCACTGTCACTGGTACAGGGATCACTTATACTAGTCAGGTGTCTGTCACTGTCACTGGTACAGGGATCACTAATACTAGGCATGTGTCTCTCACTGTCATTGGTACAGGGATCACTAATACTAGTCACATGTCTGTCACGGTCACTGGTACAGGGATCACTAATACTAGTTACTTGTCTGCCACTGTCAGTGGTACAGGGATCACTAATACTAGTCACATGTCTGTCACTGTCACTGGTACAGGGATCACTTATACTAGTCAGGTGTCTATCACTGTCACTGGTACAGGGATCACTAATACTAGGCATGTGTCTCTCACTGTCACTGGTACAGGGATCACTAATACTAGTCACATGTCTGTCGCGGTCACTGGTACAGGGATCACTAATACTAGTCACGTGTCTGTCAGTGTGACTGGTACAGTGATCACTAATACTAGTCACGCGTCTGTCACTGTCACTGGTACAGGGATCCCTAATACTAGTCACGTGTCTGTCACTGTCACCGGTACAGTGATCACTAATACTAGTCACGTGTCAGTCACTGTCACTGGTACAGTGATCACTAATACGAGACACGTGTCTGTCACTGTCACTGGTACAGGGATCACTAATACTAGTCACGTGTCTGTCACTGTCACTGGTACAGAGATCACTAATACTATATAGCTAGTCACGTGTCTGTCACTGTCAGTGGTACAGTGATCACTAATACTAGTCACGTGTCTGTCACTGTCACTGGTACAGGGATCCTTAAAACTAGTCATGTGTCTGTCACCGTCAGTGGGAGAGGGATCTTTAATACTTTATGTCCCATATTTTTATGTATCATGTTTCATAAGTGTATTGCTATTAAATGTCTCTATTTTTCTAATACTTTCTTAAGTTCGATAAGGAGTTATAACAAATTTTCTATATTTTAATTAACAGCAGAAATGATCACATACCATGTATCTATCAAACAAAGAGCACAGAAGGGCTTGTTCTATAAATAGTCCGTTGATCACGAAGCTATGAATGGATACAACAGTTGTAGGAACCCTTTTACTAACACGGTCACAGATATATTTCTATACCAATGTATCTATGTCTTGTAGTGACCTTTTTACACTATAACCAGAACTCAATATGGTAACATACATGTTATAAATAAATAAATAAATAAATTAAATCCACTTTAACTTTCAATTTTGAACATAAAGTGCAGTAAAATTATGAAACATAGCTGACTGCCAATAAATCATATCACTGTGTTTTCATCATAAAAAGGAGTGGATAGGGGAGGGGGAAATATCATCTGTATCTGCCAAACATTCAATTGGTGTTGTCATGGTGTTCCAGCCTAATTGGATTAGTTTTGTAGAATGCATAGATCAATGCCATTTTGAGCTGACAAAAAGCTGGAGATGACATAAAACCTCAAATCAATATTAATACAAACAAAGTAAGAATGATATTTCTTAAGTACTTGTAACTAAATAACTGTTCCTTAAGTCACTTCCATTTTTAACATCTTTTCTTTGATATATCAAAGAAGTTCAAAATATGAGTTGATAAAATCAAGATGAAAATTTAACTATGAAAACTTTTTTCTTCACTTTCCTCAGGAGCTTATTGACGCAAGGCATCTATTTGCATATCTATTTGTATCCTATTTGTATCTATTTGTATCCTATTTGTATCTATTTGTATCCATTACAGATATTTGTTTGTCACATTTATTATATTTTGATGGGTTTATCTTGGCATCATATTTTACAGGTATTAATAAGATTAATTTTTCTCCAAAAGATATTTACAAAATGTGATAATTAGTATAAATCAAGTACAACTCATTTTAACCTCACTGAGATTTCTCAAGAGGAAATGACAAAAGTAAAACCCTGTAGAAATAACACGAATTCTAATGGATATGTTCTGTTTGGCAGGTACAGATTTAAATGTAGATACATCAGATTGAGAAGGGGAAGCAGTGAGGAGCACGTCATTCTGTGGTGAGCCTCTATCTGGACTGGGGCACATCAATCAACGTTCATGTGACTACACATGTGGGAGGAGCTAATAATTATGTCCTCACCTTGCTATTGGCCAAAAGGAGGCCAATCCCCTCCATGCATACTTGCAGTAGGCCACCCTGGCCAGATTTCAAATCCTGCACAGGAAATTCTCCTCCCAATTCTGGGCCTGAAAAAGTGTTTGCTTACATTATGATTACATTTTAAGTTTCATTCAAGTTGTTCTGTCAAATCAATTGATTATCGTGGAATCATAAAAGTGTTTATTCTATAAAATAAAGGAGACGTCCCTATCATTGCTGAGGTGATTATCTGCAGAACACCTACCTGCAATTTTTCCATTATTTCTTGCAGCAGCCTTCTCCATCGCTTCTTTGACACAGAAATAAAGCTCTCGACACTGCAAATGGAAATCAAATATCAAAGATGACAGTCGACTGCTCATACGTATTCCCAAGATCATTTCTTGGTCTATTTCATATATAAACTATAGGAGACAAGAAAATCACAATTTTTATAAACCACCCAAAGGCCTTTACAACTACATTGTATGAGTAGTATTTGGTTTTAGCATTTCTGGAAATGGAGAAGAAGATTTTTTATCTAAATTTCCCCCTTTTTGGCCCCTAACTCAGCCCCCTAGGGGGCCACACCCTTATTTCATAAATATATTGAGCCACTGGTCCCAAGGATACTTCATATCAAATTTAGTTAAAATCCAATCAGTCGTTCATGAGATAAAGGCTTTTAAAGGGAAAAGTTGATGCCGGACAGACGCCGGATGACAGACGCCTCGGTACGGCATAAGCTCACTTGCCCTTCGGGCAGGAGAGCTAAAGAGCAAGGACCTATGTCATATCTCCCATGTTTAGCATGTAGATAAACTCTTAGCTAATAGTTGGTGTACTTCTTGAAGATTTTACCTTTCCTCAATTTTAATCTCACTATATACATTTTCCCTCCTCTTGCGTATACCTTTTTCGTGTAGAACTGGTTGAGCTGGACCTTTTCGCCATGTTTGCGCCACAGACACAGGACCTTGGTTTTTGGACAGTATGTCATATTGACGAGTTTCTCGTACCACCATCTGTCACAGATGGCCCCCATCACACTCCGCAGTATAATACAGTCATCACATACCTAGAGGGAAAGTCAAAAGAAATGTGGTACACTTTGCAGTTTACTGTAAACAAGGAAATGTTCACACAGACAAAACATTTGCCCTTCACCAGAATAATCCATCTTGGCCCAGACATACTTTTGTTCTTCACATATAATTACTATGCATACTAATTTGTTAACTAATCATGATGTTCGCTGTAATGATAGATTTGCTTTCATTACGATGGTCAACTGACTCTGGGTATACATACAGTTATATAATCACCCCATACCTAAAGAGCAAGTCAAAAGGTCATATTGTACACAACTGACTGGTTAAGACTAAACATGTACCTTCAATTGTTACCGGTTCCCATTTTCCTTTGATTTTAAAAACAGAAAGAAGGACTTATGGTTAGATTTAACCAGGCATAGTGATACTTGAGCTGGTGTACATACAGTATATAGTTAACTAAAGTGGTAATATTGACAGTAATTGGTATGTATAAATAGATACTTTAACCCTTTCACCACTGTAGACCATAATGGACTCATCCAGATCAATGTATGGTAGAGTCTACTAAAGTTACCTAGGGTGAAAGGGTTAAGCGATGGAAACAGCCTTTAAAAGACAGCAAACACATAGCTGTGTAAAGTAAGTTTTAATCAACAATGTCTTTATTTTGTTTTTAGAATTAGATGAATTGTCAGGGTACAGTAAGTCTATTAAGATGAATTGTCAGGGTACAGTAAGTCTATTAAGATGAATTATCAGGGTACAGTAAGACTATTAAGATGAATTGTCAGGGTACAGTAAGTCTATTAAGATGAATTGTCAGGGTACAGTAAGTCTTTTAAGATGAATTGTCAGGGTACAGTAAGTCAATTAAGATGAATTGTCAGGGTACAGTATGTCTATTAAGATGAATTGTCAGGGTACAGGAAGTCTATTAAGATGAATTGTCAGGGTACAGTATATGTCTATTAAGAAATACTGCGAGCCTGAGACTAACCTCCATGAAGAGCATATCACCCGAATTATCACTTCCCCAGTGAACAGTGAAAGACTGTTTCTGCATAAATCGACTTCCCATTGGCTTCAGGGATATTTCATTCCCGTGCTGAAAGCAGAAAAGAATAGACATATTTTACACAATTCATGTAGTTCCGTGCAGGAATGAAGTTACTACAGTAATGAAAACAAAAATCCAATTAACAACAACAGTGACTGTCATGTGACTGTCATGTGACTCCCCGACATAGGAACATCTTGGAGTTTTCTTTACTCGACCAATGTATGAAGCTTTAACAAGACCCTTTCAGAATAATAGTTCCTAGAGTGATGATAAAATGTAAATGCAAGCGCAAATGTATATACAAACGCAATACTATATCCCCTCTGCGACCTCGCAGACAGTAATGAGGAAATAATTCAGATTCCAGCAGTGTTACAATAATTGTAGTTTCAAACCTTTTATATTTCTGTGAGTTAATAATGTAAAAAAGCTCATCTTGTTCGAGTAATAACAAAATGACATAACCAAATCTAAATACAAGCTGCATCAACTCTGGAGTAATGTAGCAGGTGAGCCATTATCTCACCATAGTCAAGGGCTAGTCTCAGATAGCAAGGACTTCCTGGGTGAGTCCAACCTTTGTGATTACATACGTATACAATGGTCATTATTGGTCAAGTATGTTTAGGACCTCCTGTCTAAAGGCTGGTCCAATGCCTACTTACCACGTTCATTGCCAGGTCTAGGACAGAATGGACATCCTGGCTGTAGGACAGTCCTATGAGTGTGACTACTTACCATGTTCATCACCAGCTCAAGGACAGAATGGACATCCTGGCTGTAGGACAGTCCTATGAGTGTGACTACTTACCATGTTCATCACCATGCAGGTCTAGGAGAGAATTGACTGTAGGACAGTCCTATGAGTGTGATTACTTACCATGGTCATCGCCAGGTCTAGGACAGAATGGACATCCTGGCTGTAGGACAGTCCTATGAGTGTGACTACTTGCCATTGTCATCGCCAGGTCTAGGACGGTATGGACATCCTGGCTGTAGGACAGTCCTATGAGTGAGACTACTTACCATGTTCATCACCATGCAGGTCTAGGAGAGAATTGACTGTAGGACAGTCCTATGAGTGTGACTACTTACCATGGTCATCGCCAGGTCTAGGACGGTATGGAAATCCTGGCTGTAGGACAATCCTATGAGTGTGACCAACTACCATGGTCATCGCCAGGTCTAGGACAGAATGGACATCCTGGCTGTAGGACAGTCCTATGAGTGTGACTACTTACCATGGTCATCGCCAGGTCTAGGACGGTATGGACATCCTGGCTGTAGGACAGTCCTATGAGTGTGACTACTTACCATGGTCATCGCCAGGTCTAGGACGGAATGGACATCCTGGCTGTAGGACAATCCTATGAGTGTGACTACTTACCATTGTCATCGCCAGGTCTAGGACGGTATGGACATCCTGGCTGTAGGACAGTCCTATGAGTGTGACTACTTACCATTGTCATCGCCAGGTCTAGGACGGTATGGACATCCTGGCTGTAGGACAGTCCTATGAGTGTGACTACTTACCATTGTCATCGCCAGGTCTAGGACGGTATGGACATCCTGGCTGTAGGACAGTCCTATGAGTGTGACTACTTACCATTGTCATCGCCAGGTCTAGGACGGTATGGACATCCTGGCTGTAGACCAGTCCTATGTGAGACTTCCCCAGTAGACGGCGCACCTTCTTCCTCAGTTCTTGCTTGTTACAGCGCATCATGACCATAAAGCTGGCCAGGTTATACAACATGGTGGACAGGAGGCGGTCTTCATCCTGTTCCAGTCTCTTCTTTTCACTGTCCCCTAGGGAGTTATACCTGCAACACAGGACAGGTAAAATTGTGCGAGCAGGTAATAACTCAAATAGGACAGTTCCATAAATGTCAGCAAAATAAAGAACAAAACATTTACGTTTAAATAAAATTTTGTTTATCCAAGAATTTTAAACTTACAGGTTGTGCTTTGAAACATGGTTTATTTTATGTCATAAATCACATCATGTTATCTAAATGTGCACATGGTCATTCAATTCTTTACACACAAGGTAATGTGTTGATGTAACCTAACTTTTCTGTCCATTGTACATCACAGTAAACATATCAAATCCTTTGTCATTGAGAATCTGAAAAAAACATGGATATACATATATATATACAGCAAGCCTCTGTTATGATAGCCACTTATTGGTTTGATAGTCTATAGCCAAACCTCTGTAACTATAGCCACTTATTGGTTTGATAGTCTATGGCCTCTGTAATAATAGCCACTTATTGGTTTGATAGTCTATAGCCAAGCCTCTGTAACGATAGCCACTTATTGGTTTGATAGTCTATAGACAAGCCTTTGTTATGATAGCCACTTATTGCTTTGATAGTCTATAGACAAGCCTCTGTAACGATAGCCACTTATTGTTTTGATAGTCTATGGACAAGCCTTTGTTATGATAGCCACTGATTGGTCTGAGAGTCTATAGCCTCTGTAATGATAGCCACCTATTGGTCTGGGAGTCTATAGCCTCTGTAATGATAGCCACCTATTGGTTTAATAGTCTATAGCCTCTGTAATGATAGCCACTAATTGGTCTGGGAGTCTATAGCCTCTGTAATGATAGCCACTTATTGGTTTGATAGTCTATATCCTCTGTAACGATAGCCACTTATTGTTTTGATAGTCTATAGCCAAGCCTCTGTTACGATAGCCACTTATTGGTTTGATAGTCTATGGACAAGCCTTTGTTATGATAGCCACTGATTGGTCTGAGAGTCTATAGCCTCTGTAATGATAGCCACTGATTGGTCTGGGAGTCTATAGCCTCTGTAATGATAGCCACTAATTGGTCTGGGAGTCTATAGCCACTGTAATGATAGCCACTGATTGGTCTGGGAGTCTATAGCCTCTGAAATGATAGCCACTGATTAGTCTGGGAGTCTATAGCCTCTGTAACGATAGCCACTGAGCATGACTGGTCTGGGAGTCTATAGCCTCTGAAATGATAGCCACTGATTAGTCTGGGAGTCTGTAGCCTCTGTAATGATAGCCACTGATTGGTCTGGGAGTCTATGGCCTCTGTAATGATAGCCACTGATTGGTCTGGGAGTCTATAGCCAAGCCTGTTATGTTTTGTTGTTACTGCTGTTACCCTACCTCTCCATCATCTCCCCTGGTCCCTGGTCCATGCCAATGATGTCCCTCTCCTGGGCCACAGCATCAAGGTAGACATCCTCCCAGAACTGCATCTGGTCCCAAAGTCGAGACCTGTCCTTGGCTGACGACAGAGGTAAATAAAGTTTAGAATACTAGGTCAAGGTTATCCAAAACCTATAGCAACAGCACATTTAATCAAACATCTGGCTACTTCTTGGTTGTGAACTATACTGATGCAATAACATTTTTCCACACATATGCATTCTTATTCAATAATCTCAAAATATTTGAATAACACTCAGACATGGCCATCTTTGAAGCAAATTACCAATATGAGTGTGTGATGATGACGTTGATCTGAAATTTTCGACATACATCATTGTTTTTGTGGTTTGGAAATGAAGCTTGAGCATTCAGCTTTTTAAAGTAGAAAGGAAATCAAATGTTTTCATTTTCAAGTGGCATACTGACACAAAATATTCCTCCCTTCAGATCACCATTCATACCAGGAGTTTCTGACTAAAGTAAAAGACTCATTTGTTCATTGAGTGGCAGCATAGTCAATAAATTTCAGGTGTTTTTTGTTTTGTTTTTTGTTTTTTTAATTTAGCAAAAAGTCTAAATTTCACATGTAGTGGTGCTAAGATCTATGATTAGGAAAGGATGCTCAACATTAATTCTATAATAAACTACTGGCTACACTTACTGATGAGTCCCTTGTACAGGAACATCAGTAAGTGTAGCCAGTAGTTCATAATAGAAATGAACCGAGAAAAGGACCGAGGGGTAGTGATTTCTATTATGAACTATAGGCTACACTTACTGACGAGTCCCTCGTACAGGTACATGCGTGAAGTCTCAGGACTGAGGGGTAGTGATTTCTATTATGAACTATAGGCTACACTTACTGACGAGTCCCTCGTACAGGTACATGCGTGAAGTCTCAGGACCGAGGGGTAGTGATTTCTATTATAAACTATAGGCTACACTTACTGACGAGTCCCTCGTACAGGTACATGCGTGAAGTCTCAGGACCGAGGGGTAGTGATTTCTATTATGAACTATAGGCTACACTTACTGACGAGTCCCTCGTACAGGTACATGCGTGAAGTCTCAGGACTGAGGGGTAGTGATTTCTATTATAAACTATAGGCTACACTTACTGACGAGTCCCTCGTACAGGTACATGCGTGAAGTCTCAGGACCGAGGGGTAGTGATTTCTATTATAAACTATAGGCTACACTTACTGACGAGTCCCTCGTACAGGTACATGCGTGAAGTCTCAGGACCGAGGGGTAGTGATTTCTATTATAAACTACTGGCTACACTTACTGACGAGTCCCTCGTACAGGTACATGCGTGAAGTCTCAGGACTGAGGGGTAGTGATTTCTATTATAAACTATAGGCTACACTTACTGACGAGTCCCTCGTACAGGTACATGCGTGAAGTCTCAGGACCGAGGGGTAGTGATTTCTATTATAAACTATAGGCTACACTTACTGACGAGTCCCTCGTACAGGTACATGCGTGAAGTCTCAGGACCGAGGGGTAGTGATTTCTATTATAAACTATAGGCTACACTTACTGACGAGTCCCTCGTACAGGTACATGCGTGAAGTCTCAGGACCGAGGGGTAGTGATTTCTATTATAAACTATAGGCTACACTTACTGACGAGTCCCTCGTACAGGTACATGCGTGAAGTCTCAGGACCGAGGGGTAGTGATTTCTATTATAAACTATAGGCTACACTTACTGACGAGTCCCTCGTACAGGTACATGCGTGAAGTCTCAGGACCGAGGGGTAGTGATTTCTATTATAAACTATAGGCTACACTTACTGACGAGTCCCTCGTACAGGTACATGCGTGAAGTCTCAGGACCGAGGGGTAGTGATTTCTATTATAAACTATAGGCTACACTTACTGACGAGTCCCTCGTACAGGTACATGCGTGAAGTCTCAGGACCGAGGGGTAGTGATTTCTATTATAAACTATAGGCTACACTTACTGACGAGTCCCTCGTACAGGTACATGCGTGAAGTCTCAGGACCGAGGGGTAGTGATTTCTATTATAAACTATAGGCTACACTTACTGACGAGTCCCTCGTACAGGTACATGCGTGAAGTCTCAGGACCGAGGGGTAGTGATTTCTATTATAAACTATAGGCTACACTTACTGACGAGTCCCTCGTACAGGTACATGCGTGAAGTCTCAGGACCGAGGGGTAGTGATTTCTATTATAAACTATAGGCTACACTTACTGACGAGTCCCTCGTACAGGTACATGCGTGAAGTCTCAGGACCGAGGGGTAGTGATTTCTATTATAAACTACTGGCTACACTTACTGACGAGTCCCTCGTACAGGTACATGCGTGAAGTCTCAGGACTGAGGGGTAGCGGAGATGTACTCAACATCTTGCCTTCAGGATAGCGGTGCCCAGAACTCAGACTGCTCTTGTTACTGAAGGTACTGGGAGATCGTGTTCTCTTGGTGTAGTTCACCATCTGTAGATTAATACCAGCAAGTCAATGTATTAAACTTAATATACAACAGACAAATCTAGAGACAAAACTCTTTAGAAGATAAAACCACAAAAAATTCATAATTAAAGATTAAAGATAGGGATTAGAACAAAACCATTTTTTTCTCAGGATATTTCTTTTATCACATTATGTACTGTGTACAAGTACATGACGTCACAGACTTACGCACTGGAGTCAAAATGGCGGCTTTTTACGTTTCAAGGTTGCATGAAAATTGTCATTTTACACAAATAAATGCCACAAATCCTGATTATGTGATAAAGAGGATCTTACTCTTGTTTTCATTTCAGAAGCTCGCTAAATTGATAAGTCCTCTGAAATAGAAACTTTGTAAACTTTGTACAAGAATTTTTTTCACCCAGTGAAAAAGAAAATACTTAAAATATTTTTTCAATTTAAAATATAAAAGAATGAGTTAATAGTACATACAAATCTCTCTCATGAGCCAAAGAATTCTCAATACAGATACAAACAACGAAAAGTTTCTCACATATAAACAATATGTATACATCTATCATGATGACGTGGGGTTTGATCCAGTCATGTTAACAGTAAATGCACCTTGAGGTAACTTTTGATCTAAACTTAATACTGATGTGTATGAAAACCAACCTTCAAAGTGAGTTTGTCATTTCACATATTTAATAGTACAGTACCTAATGTGAAAGAAATAGAATCCATCATTGCAATATGAGAAAGGTCTGTTAAGTTCTTCCTTTAGCTATTTTGTTTTTATGATCAGTCTCAAAATATAACATGCACAACAAGGAATCAAGGGTTATGTACATATCAAAATTGAGAAAGATCCCTCAAGTTATTCCTGGGAAATAGTACTAACAAACCTTCAATGTCAAAATCAAACATTTGTTTACCTTATTAGTCTCATAAGAAAATTACATCACTTTATAACTTAGGGAACCTACATCAAGAAAGATCTCTCCAGTATTTCCTGAGTAATAGCCATACCAAACCCTCCCCGTCAAAATCCAAGATGGCTGCCTGTCGGCCATTTTATTTATCTGATCAGTCTCAAAAGTTTATAACCTAGGGGAACCTACATATAAGATGTGAGAAAGATCTCTCCACGACTTCCTGAGAAAAAGCGATAATAAACCTTCAACGTCAAAATCCAAGATGGCTGCCTGTTGGCACTTTTGTTTTTCTAATCATTCTCAAAATCAAATATGCACAACTACAGACCTTGGGGAGCCTACATAACAAATTTGGGAAAAATGCCACCACTACTTCCTCAGAAAAAGCCATAACAAACCTTCATTATCAAAATCCAAGATGGCTGCCTGTCGGCCATATTGTTTATCCGATCAGTCTCAAAAGTTGCCCTGCACAACTAGGGACCAATGGGAACCTACATATGTAATTTGAGAAAGATGCCTTTGAAACTTCCTGAGAAATAGCCATAACAAACCTTCATTGTCAAAATCAGATGATGGTGGGCTAAAAAAGTGTTTCTTGCATGCAGACAAATAGATTTTGAAGACATTTCTTATATATTAACAAGGTTTATCATCTAAATTGTTTCTCACAAATATTTCTCATATACTAATGAAGGTCTCATGCAAACAGTTTCTTAATAATCACAAATATATTATTTCTCTCACAGATAAGAAAGAAAGGTTCTCACATGCAAACAAAATGGTTCCCACACCGAAACATTTCCCACATACAAGCAGTTTCCCCTCCCTAAATATAATAGAAAATAGAAGAAAATATCATGCAAATAAACATAACTTGTACATTCTACGCACCCCTGACATTTCCATTTCGCTATCTGACAATGTGCTCCTGATTGAGTGATGGTTTATCCGTTTTTTCCTCTGCCCTTCATCCTCCCCCACTGTTTCTGAGCTGCTAGACATCAGGGTACTTGCCTCTGAGTTTTCCGAGTCCACACTGAAACGTTTCCCGCCATTATCTGCAAACAAGTCTTTGTTTTTCACCATTTGGTGCATCACCTCGGAGTTTGAGGACATGACCGACTCGGAGCTCGGACCAGTTCCTGACGTAATGATGATGTCACACTTGTTTGGGGTGTTGGACTTGGCAGTGTTTTGGTTCTGGTCAACCTGTAGTGGATGTCTTCCTGTTGTGATCACCGTAGCGTGACCAGCATCAACACTTCCTTGGTGTAAAGACATTGACTGGATCTCAATGTTCTCAAACTCTTCACCGTTCACTAGTACCGGAGACCCTGAAGATAAAAACATCTCACATTTCATAGCTAACTACAAATATGTCTGGAACTGTAGAAGACATCTTTAAAATTGGAAATTCAGTCAAGCCTCAATTGATTGGACCATTAAGAAGTTCAAAGATAAAGAGGGTCTAATTTGGAACATCAGGTAAATGGTCCAAAAGCTTGACATGTTACTTTTACAATTTCTGAAGAATTGTTTTTATTAAACTTTTACAATTTTTCTTTCTTCCAAATGTAAAAGTTATGTTAACTAATAGCATTTCAACAAAATAGTAGCTATTACATATGAAACAAATGTGACATTCCTCAAAGAACAAGAGAATTAAACCCAGGCAGATTTTGGCACCACCACTTCGTTATAATCATGCATTATTGTTGAGGTATTGGCTTTCTCCAAATTTTTCTTGAACAAAAACATACATAGGTATAGTACAATGTAAACCAAGTTGCAACTTTATCCCTGATCCTTGTTTATGCAAGTTGAAGCCTGCACATCTAGAGGTCATACATACCCTAGCATGATCCCTTAAGTAATTACTCTCCAAAAAAATAGGCAAAATACAAGATGGCCTGTAGGCCATTTGCATTTTTGACTCACCCAATTCAAGGCAGGTACAGCTAGAAACTAAGAGGAACTTTTAAACCATGTTCTATCATGATCGCTTGTAAAAGCGGTAACAATCTTGAAATGAAAAATCCAAGATGGCTGCATGGTTGCCATTTTGTTATTCAAGTTCATCTTGAATCGTAGCATTCAAAATTTGGGGTAAATGCACAATACCAATCATTACGATCAAGTACTTTTCAAGAAATAGCTATAACAAACTTGACATGCTGTATCCATACAAATCCAAAATAGTCTAGTGGCAATTTGTTTTTCAAATCATCCAAAATTGAATCTGTTACAGGTGGACGGACTGATGGACAGATGGACGCAGGACCACAGACAAAAAAGTGATCTGATTTTGTAATGTTTTATGTCTGAGCTTATTAAATTAGTTGATATGACAACAAATATTTTTTACAAATACATTGAACTTTATTTAATAAGTATAATAGGTTTACTGGCATTGTCAAAAAAGTTGTTTCATAAATTTTAAGCAAAATGTTTGAAAAAACATAAATTGAAAAACACGTAATCATGCAGCTGCTAAATTGGTAACTCCAGAAGAACAAACATTTCTGATTCACGTTAACATTTCAACCCTATCGCACTGCGCATCCTTACACCTGGAATGTAGTTACCTGTGTGATACAGTGTAGATGCTAGGCACTACAAGCAGTCTACAGGTTTTTAACATAGTTAGGTCTATCCAGACCATTTGATTTTTAAACAAAATTTTACGGATTTAAATTTTCAGCACAACATTTGTTTGTTCCTAAACAAAGAAGTATTTTTATATACATGACACTAGTTATCCCGTGTTATCACCATGACACTAGTTACCCCGTATTATCACCGTGACACTAGTTACCCCGTGTTATCACCATGACACTAGTTACCCCGTATTATCACCGTGACACTAGTTACCCCGTGTTATCACCGTGACACTAGTTACCCCGTGTTATCATCGTGAGTACTAGTTATCCCGTATTATCACCAGTCATTTAACATACTGAATCTCTGCTGCAAACCTGAACCTTACTTTTATCTTGATCATGTTTTTTAATTCTTTGGACTGAAATTCAACAAGATATCAAATGTATCGCATTAAGTTTTGTTAGTGAAACCACATGCTTTACAAAAAAAGGCAATTATGAAAACCACCACCAAAGAAATGATTAAGCAAATGAAATGCATATTGAGTAGGCCATCGACAGCACTCATGCTACTTACAAAATAATTTATAAAACAAAATTTTACATAATCAATTTATCAATTTAAACAAGTATCAGCTTATTTCAAGACATACAGACATACTGACACATACAAGCTTTCCAATATTACACAGCATCAGAAGATAATGAACTGCTTCGGAGGGACCGGTTAGTCAACAGTAAGTATGATCAGCTGGCAATGTTAGACAACAGATTTAAACACCGAGCTCGTCTCCAGGGATCTCTGTCATCAAGTCTGACGTAACACATCTCTGTCATCAAGTCAAACGTAACACATCTCTGTCATCAAGTCGGACGTAACACATCTCTGTCATCAAGTCAGACGTAACACCATTCAAACACGTTTTTGTCTTTGTTTTGTCATATAGGAATGTCCAACTGCTGCACAACGGGACTGTGGCAGGTTTCTATATACCTCTGTAGTGAACATCCAGAGATCTCATATAGATGTTGTTATGGGTCTCCACATTGAAATTATCTGAATATTATAAAATTCACAAATTAATCTTTTGTAGATTTGAATTACATGTATATAACTAACCTAGCTACAAAGATGAAGACAAGTATCAAAACATCCTGGACTCTCTCATACTAAATACACAATGTTTATATCAAAACATCCTGGACTCTCATACGGTCTAAATACACAATGTTTATATCAAAACATCCTGGACTCTCTCATAGTCTAAAAACACAATGTTTATATCAAAACATCCTGGACTCTCATACAGTCTAAATACACAATGTTTATATCAAAACATCCTGGACTCTCATACAGTCTAAATACACAATGTTTATATCAAAACATCCTGGACTCTCATACAGTCTAAATACACAATGTTTATATCAAAACATCCTGGACTCTCATACAGTCTAAATACACAATGTTTATATCAAAACATCCTGGACTCTCTCATACAGTCTAAATACACAATGTTTATATCAAAACATCCTGGACTCTCATACAGTCTAAATACACAATGTTTATATCAAAACATCCTGGACTCTCATACAGTCTTAATACACAATGTTTATATCAAAACATCCTGGACTCTCTCATACTAAATACACAATGTTTATATCAAAACATCCTGGACTCTCTCATACTAAATACACAATGTTTATATCAAAACATCCTGGACTCTCATACAGTCTAAATACACAATGTTTATATCAAACATCCTGGACTCTCATACAGTCTAAATACACAATGTTTATATCAAAACATCCTGGACTCTCTCATACAGTCTAAATACACAATGTTTATATCAAAACATCCTGGACTCTCTTATACTAAATACACAATGTTTATATCAAAACATCCTGGACTCTCTCATACAGTCTAAATACCTAATGTTTATATAAAATGTCTTGAGATATGTAAAATGTCCACAATTCCTGAGAAAACATGAAATAGTCGATGTCAGACTTTTAGTGAATAAGTACCCATAACAACATACAACGAGGCCTACACAAGCCAAGCAAGCGACTGAGGGAGGGGAGTAAGCGTTGGGGTGGGGACAGGCACTGGGGTTAAGCGGTGAAGGTGCAAGGGGAGGATACCAACCTGATCCTGTGCTATTACTAGAAGTGGAGTGATCAGAATAATGGGTAGGTACAGGCCGCTCCGCCCGGGTCCAGCCGGGACATGTGTGACCTACAGCGGGCAATAAACCAGCACGGTGAGAGCCTGCCAACCAATCAAATCACTCGGTCCAAATATGCTCAAAGTACAACACAGCAAATGATAAGCTAAGCAGCAAATAATAGTATGAAATAAAAACAGCAAAAAATGGACAAACGATCTCCCAAGTCCCAATACCTGAAGACACTAGAAAATGTTGTTAGTCTTTTTATCAAAGCATTCATCTGGTTCAGACTATTAGTTAATAAAGAAGAATGACCAGAGTGAACAATGATCTTTATAACTCTACAAGTATATGTCATATATAAATAAAAAATATGGTGTTAATTCTACATAATATACAGGTGGCAAGACTTGGGAAAGAAATAATATATCATAGAGGTAGATGCTTCTTAAGCTTTCAAAAGGTAAATTGTATGATTTATGAAGCTACTACGATTACATAATTGCTTTCTTTTCGTAGAATGTATTCTGTTTTTTTCATTGAGGGAGGACTGGGTATTTGATCCAATAAACAGAAACACATAATGCGTCAAACAGAACATTAAAAGCTAAATATGAAGTAATGCGAAAGCTGCTGATCATAACCAACAGGAGTTACTTGGCCAGAAGCTAGTGCCACTTGACCAGAAGCTAGTGCCACTTGACCAGAGGCTAGTGCCACTTGACCAGAAGCTAGTGCCACTTGACCAGAAGCTAGTGACACTTGACCAATAGCTAGTGACACTTGACTAGAAGCTAGTAACACTTAACCAGAAGCTAGTGACACTTGACCAATAGCTAGGGACACTTGACCAGAAGCTAGTAACACTTAACCAGAAGCTAGTGCCACTTGACCAATAGCTAGTGACACTTGACCAATAGCTAGTGACACTTGACCAGAATCTAGTGCCACTTGACCAGAAGCTAGTGACAGTTGCCCAGAAGCTAGTGACACTAAACCAGAAGCTGGTGACACTTGACAAATAGATAGTGAAACTTGACAAGAAGCTAGTGACACTTGACCAATAGCTAGTGCCACTTGATCAGAAGCTAGTGACACTTGACCAGAAGCTAGTGGCACTTAACCAATAGCTAGTGACACTTGACCAGAAGCTACTGACACTTGACCAATAGCTAGTGACACTTGACCAGAATCTAGTGCCACTTGACCAGAAGCTAGTGACAGTTGCCCAGAAGCTAGTGACACTAAACCAGAAGCTGGTGACACTTGACCAATAGCTAGTGCCACTTGATCAGAAGCTAGTGACACTTGACCAGAAGCTAGTGGCACTTAACCAATAGCTAGTGACACTTGACCAATAGCTAGTGACACTTGACCAATAGCTAGTGACACTAGACCAGAAGCTAGTGACACTTGACCAGAAGCTAGTGGCACTTAACCAATAGCTAGTGACACTTGACCAATAGCTAGTGACACTAGACCAGAAGCTAGTGACACTTGACCAGAAGCTAGTGACACTCGACCAATAGCTAGTGACACTTGACCAGAAGCTACTGACACTTGACCAATAGCTAGTGACACTTGACCAATAGCTAGTGACACTTAACCAGAAGCCAGTGACACTTGACCAATAGCTAGTGACACTTAACCAGAAGCTAGTGACACTTGACCAATAGCTAGTGACACTTAACCAGAAGCCAGTGACACTTGACCAATAGCTAGTGACACTTGACCAGAAGCTAGTGACACAATAACATTTAGCAGTATGCATTCAGAACATGGACAGCTGCATGCGTGAATGTATTGTCAGGAATTTCTCAATTACTTTTACTTTTCTTTCAAATGACCTCAACCTGGTCTCTTTTTTAAACTTCACCCACATCTTAAGTAACATATCACGGTCATAATCCAAATTTACAGCCAATTCAAATTAAACACCAGTAATAAATAGACTTGTTCAAGCAGATCATTTTAACACATATTTATTATTGCTTTGGTTTGGTTTGGTTTAGTATTGTTTAACGTCCTATCAACAGCTGTGGTCATTTAAGGACGGCCCATGCAATGGATAGTTTTGAGAATAAATGTTTAGTTCTAATTTCTCCCCCTTATTTAATTAAGGATTATGTTTGTGTTAGCTGTAAATCATATCTATGGTATTCAATATATATCTATTATACATTGCAAACAGACATGCCTTTTTAATTATCAAAATACAGTGAATGATCTAATATACATTTTATTATAATTATGCAGGCATGCTTTTTTTACAAATCAGTAATGATAAAATATTTGCACCTTTAAGGATATATAACACATGCAATAGTGAAGGCTAATATTTGAAAAGCTGACTAAAACAAGGCTATCTATCTATTTTTTTAAATGCCAACAAAAAAATAAGTCTTTCACGTCTCAACTTTAAATAAAAAAATTAAAGCGAATAGTCTTTATCATACTGATTGACAAGAAGCTGAAAGAGAGTGGAGGCAGAGATAAAAATTGACTACAGTGATAAATTATATACAAGCTTATACAAAGAGGCTCCAAACCAAAGAAACAAAAGAGTGTATAAGTATATTGATATATAAGTTATTAATGTGCAATTCAAAGAGAGTTCCTACCAAGGGCAGCAACCATGTGTTCTTCGTGCAGACTGTGGGACTCTGACTTCTGAGGAGAACCTTCGCTGCGTGATGACAAACTCTCGTGACTGCCATAGGGAGAGTTGATCTACAATGATTAGTATTGGGTGCCAGGCGGTTACGTAATCACAAGATGCTTCCATACAAACAACATGTAATAATAAACAATTTGAGGTTCTTATAAACCGCTTTATCACAACCGAGTTGTAGGTCGTCTCAAAGCGGTTCACAAATTATTATCCTTGGTTATAGGGCCTTTGCACCCAGCCAATATCTTTCTCAACTCCCTTGGGAGCATACAGCCGGTGCTGCCATTTCGGCACTCACAGCTAGCATTCTACAATTCTAGCACTGCCCAACTACATACTCATTTACAGCTGAGCAGACTGGAACAAGCGGAGTAAAGTATCTTGCTCAAAGATACAACACAGTGCCATTCCGTGACTCTAACCTACAATCCTTGGTCAAGAGGCAGACGTCCTACCACTAGACTACCGTGCCTACTATCAACATCACACACAAATCACCCCTTCATGTAGCCTTATCACCCCTAGCCAGCTTGTAGAACTTCAGTACACTGTATCAATATAATCTGAATCAGACCTATAATTAGGAACACAACCATCGTTTGTCAGAAAATTCTGAGATAGTGTCACAACATTTTGCAAAGTTTTGATTTAAGAAAGATTAAAACGTCTGTAAGACATTGACGGCCCTGTGGTTGACCTATATATCGCAACAGCCACCTTTGTGTTGATTTACCTAATTTCTCTTTAGTGAAGAAGAGGTAAAACAACTCAAACAAACAACTGGTACTGAGCCTGGACCCTGAAATATGAACTCATCTGGGGTACTCCTATTCTTGGCAATGAACTGTGATGCGACAAAACAGACAATGGATAACAATAAATGCACCTCTCATAAAATGGCAAAGGCATAACAGATATGCAAAAACCGAAGTACATCAGGTCCATTCCAGAACAATGTGCAGGATCTGCTGTTACACATACAAGTCATCATTAGAACATATCAAAGCAAACACCGATCAGGTGCTCAAGGTTATCAGCCTAGACAATTAAACAACTGTTGTCATTTCAGAGGTGTACAACTTCCTATTTAGTGTACTAGTCCACAGAGGTGTACAACTTCCTATTTAGTGTACTAGTTCACAGAGGTGTACAACTTCATATTTAGTGTTCTAGTCCACAGAGGGGTACAACTTCATATTTAGTGTTCTAGTCCACAGAGGTGTACAACTTCCTATTTAGTGTACTAGTCCACAGAGGTGTACAACTTCATATTTAGTGTACTAGTCCACAGAGGTGTAAAACTTCCTATTTAGTGCACTAGTCCACAGAGGTGTACAACTTCCTATTTAATGTACTAGTCCACAGATGTGTACAACTTCCTATTTAGTGTAGTAGTCAACAGAGGTGTACATCTTCCTATTTAGTGTACTAGTCCGCAGAGGTGTACAACTTCATATTTAATGTACTAGTTCACAGAGGTGTACAATTTCATATTTAGTGTTCTAGTCCACAGAGGGGTACAACTCCCTTTTTAGTGTACTAGTCCACATAGTTGTACAACTTCCTATTTAGTGTATTAGTCAACAGAGGTGTACATCTTCCTATTTAGTGTACTATTCCACAGAGGTGTACAACTCCCTATTTAGTGTACTAGTCCACAGAGGCGTACAACTTCCTATTTAGTGTACGAGTCCACAGAGGTGTACAACTTCCAATTTAGAGTGCTAGTCCACACAGGTGTACAACGTCCTATTTAGTGTACTAGTCCACAGATGTGTACAACTTCATATTTAGTGTACTAGTCCACAGATGTGTACAACTTCATATTTAGTGTTCTAGTCCACAGAGGTGTACAACTTCATATTTAATGGACTAGTCCACAGAGGTGTACAACTTCCTATTTAGAGTACTAGTCCACACAGGTGTACAACGTCCTATTTAGTGTACTAGTCCACAGAGGTGTACCACTCCCTTTTTAGTGTACTAGTCAACAGAGGTGTACAACTTCCTATTTAATGTACTAGTCCACAGAGGTGTAAAACTTCCTATTTAGTGCACTAGTCCACAGAGGTGTACAACGTCCTATTTAGTGTACTAGTCCACAGAGGTGTACAACTTCCTATTTAGTGTACTAGTCAACAGAGGTGTACATCTTCCTATTTAGTGTACTAGTCCACAGAGGTGTACAACTCCCTTTTTAGTGTACTAGTCCACAGAGGTGTACAACTTCCTATTTAGTGTACTAGTTCACAGAGATGTACAACCTCATATTTAGTGTACTAGTTCACAGAGGTGTACAACTTCATATTTAATGTACTAGTCCACAGGCAGATTTCTTAATTTGTTCAAGCCCACTCCTTTTTCCATAGTAAAGATTGAAATTTGTTACTAGCCCCTGATGCCGGGCTAGTAGGATTGTACACGCCCACATTCTCCCACATTTAGTTAAGTTTGTTAGTCCTATACAGTGATGCAATCAGATCATGCAGCCAGTTATCATTCTGTTATTAAAAGTAACAAAATCATCATCATTATGCATTCAAACTCTGTTTCATTCTGAAATCAAGGAGAACATGTTACATTCAAACTCTGTTTCATTCTGAAATCAAGGATAACATGTTACATCATGCTTATACTTAATGTATTTGTATCCTGGATCATGCATGTTGTAATTTTCTCCTTATAAAAGAGATGCCTTGTTTTAATAGACAGCAGGCAGGAGTAAGAGATCCAAGGTGACCTACCTCGGGGGTGACACTGGTGTCGCTACGGTTACTGCTACCCGTCCCTTGAATGATCTCCTTGGCCCAGTAGTGCGTGTGAGCAATCTCCAGCACCATAAACGCACTGGCCATGCCTCCTATTCCATGGTTCTGGTAAGTGTGCTCCAGCCCGTGTACAATAGCCTTCATCAAGGTCATCATGCCCTTGAACACCTGCTTTGTCATTGACTGTAACAGATAAATTTATTGATCAGATAAACAAACAAAACCTTTACAGTAGTGGATTTCAATCATCACAACAGGGAACCTCAATAAATACAGCGTAAGTACTGAAATGTTACAACAGAGTATCTCAAACAAATCATTTTTTAGTTTTATATTAAATAAAAAAAACTAGATTTGACCTTTGACTTTAGTTTGTGATCTAGAACTTTATTGGCTGAGGATCATTATCCCATGAAACACCTGGTTTTGACCTTTGACTTTAGTTTGTGACCTAGAACTTGATTGGCTGAGGATCATTATCCCATGATACACCTGGTTTTGACCTTTGACTTTAGTTTGTGATCTAGAACTGTATTGGCTGAGGATCATTATCCCATGAAACACCTGGTTTTGACCTTTGACTTTAGTTTGTGATCTAGAACTTTATTGTCTGAGGATCATTATCCCATGAAACACCTGGTTTTGACCTTTGACTTTAGTTTGTGACCTAGAACTGTATTGGCTGAGGTTCATTATTCCATGAAACACCTGGTTTTGACCTTTGACTTTAGTTTGTGACCTAGAACTTGATTGGCTGAGGATCATTATCCCATGAAACACCTAGATTTGACCTTTGACTTTAGTTTGTGACCTAGAACTTGATTGGCTGAGGATCGTTATCCCATGAAACACCTGGTTTTGATGGTTCACATGTGTATAATTAAGTTTCATAAATATCTTTTCATAAAGAAAATATCATTTTCTGCAAAAGATGAAATATACAAAGATAGTACTATCAGTGAATTTGTTTTTGGTTACTGCCGAATACAGTCTGTTTCTCTCAGCTAAAAAGTGCCTTATTTTCCCAAAATGACCAAAAACTGAAGAATATATTCCCAATTTCTATACAAATAATGCTATATTTTCCCTAATTCATAAAGGACCAGACTGTTGTTAAATTAAGGTAGCATCTATAGAAGTAATAAATATTATTACTGCATCCTCCAAGTGCTGTGTATCATCATTTAGTTTTTTGTCCAGGTTTTTGTTCAGACGGCTGACCATGAAGTTGCGATAGTTTTCATCCTCCATGAGTCGTCTTATGCGTCCTAGTTTGAGCCAGCTCACTCCCTGTCCATCAAGTACATTGGTAACAATGTCTTTGAGGAACTGTTGATTCTCACTGGCAAAACAAATAATAGAAATCAATGTTATGTCAGTATATAAGGAAAGGACAGCATGCAGATTCAGTCTTTATGGTGTTTAAAAAAAAACCCAACAGGAATATAGAGAAACAGAAATCTGAGTCGTCTATAATTTACAAGCACCTCTGTTAACACTCATGACCAGGGCCGTTTTCGTTTAAACGGTTAAACCGGTCGGACCACTGTTGTTCGTTTATTAAATAAGGTCAAACCTAGTAATCTGATGCTGCTTTCAGGCGAGCCTTGACAAAACCTTGCAAGGCCTGCATACACATTTGCGGGTCCGCCAGGGGTTATACCCGAAATTGTTACATTTATAAACGGTCAAACCGGTGGTTCCGCATAAACGAACAGGCCCCATGTTAACCGGTAATATTTTTCATAAGACAGTTTTATCAGGAGTTACCTCCCCTTGACCGTATATACCTACCTATTGGATGCACCTCGTGAGTCCGAGGAGCTTGTCTGTTTAGTTGAATCCTTCTGTTTGCGGGGTGTAGCATGCTTTACAAGGCCAGATTTTTCCACCAGAGCCTTACGATTTCCTGGTTATAACAAACAATTGGTTACTTCTTAGGAAGAAATGACAATTTCATAAAAATGTATATCCTGATTCAAAAATTCAAAAATTGAAAACTTTAAAAGAAACAGCTATAGAAAAGAGAGTTAAAGACATACATACAGATGTTGCATGGAAGATATGTGGATATATTTGTAATGATTATGTAAAGTTACTTTTACCAAAAACTCAAATTTACTTCATTTTCTATGTACCAGTCATACAGTATTATATTTAATCCAGTGGCCTTGACCTTCGAAATGGGTGAACATGGAGGCTGGGCTTATTCTTTTTATTTTTATTTTTTATTTTTTATTTTTTCAAATTTTTACATTAGTATACAATACAGTTACAATATATATACATAACATGACATAACACAAACATATATAAAGACATACACACACTCATTCATTATCATACAAACATCAATACAATTATCAGAAAGGAAAGGTAGGATTGTTGAAAATTTGTATTACATTTTGAATTTCTAAGCTAGCTGTCAGTGTGAGCGTAATCAATATTTACATTTACTCAATACAACAAATATATTTATAAATTGATAAGTTACTTATGGTAAATCAGTCGTAATTTCAAGTTTGGGTGTTTCAAAAAAAGTTTTGCCATTTGGCCCATTCTCTTTGAAACTGGTCTAAGTAGCTTTCTCCCTTACTTCTAGCAATGTATTTTTGAGTTGTATATGTATCTTTTAGTGTATTTTTCAGGGCAATAATGCAGAGTTCGTTCCTGAGGCACCTTGCTTTGTAGATATATTGTTTTATTGTAAAGATGATCATATTATCCACTTTTCTGTTTATTCCATTCTGATATGTACCAAAAAGAAAAGATTTCTTATTAAATTCAAATGGAATGAACAGTGAATTCAACAAATTTTCTAAGTTAACAAGTAAAATTTGAACTTTTTCACAGTTCCATAGCGTATGCTCTATCGTTTCAATTTCTGTTTTACAAATAATACAATAAGGACTGTCTACTAACCCAACTTTAAATAAATATGAATTTGTTGTAAGAATATGGTGATTAACCCTAAATTGAAACCATTGCAATTTTGTATTTTTTGTTACAGAAAAAGGGAGTTTAAAAATCATTTTCCAATAACCTTCATCAAATTCAAATTGTTCATTCCATTTTTTTGTTCCACTTGCAATTATACCATTTTTACTAAGCACATTATAAAAATCTTTTGTACCTTTCTGTTTTTTAGCAAATATTTGTAATTTTCTTGGAATATAGGATAGTCTATTTTTGGATGGGTCAAGTTACACCGACTGCAAAGCTCCTTTATAGCTGTAACAATTCCGTGATATTGTAAGAAATTTGCTCTAACACCAAATTTTTCTCTTAATTAAAAAAAACTGAAGAAGTTGTTGTTATCCTTTTTTAAGTCATTAACTACTACAACTCCCTTCCTATACCAATCCTTATAAAAAACACTATTATTATCTATTTTGATTTTTTCGTTTAACCATATAGGCATGTCGGAGATCTGTTTTGAATCTGTATATTTTTCCTCAAGAATAGTAAGATTTTTCCATGCAAGAAAGACATCTTTCCAGAAAAGATTTTTACAGTTATTATGACAAAAGGAAATATAGTCTAGTCCACAGCTTATTCTTGAACATGATCCCACTTTTCACACAGAAAACATTTCACAACAAGAGGCCCATGGGCCTTAAGGGTCACCTGATATATTTATACAGAGAGTTGATTTTTGTTTTTAACATGAACAGAAATATTATTCAAAGTGACAAAAAACAATAAAACCACCTTATTCAATATCTAGCATGCAGATTTAAGACTGAAAAGTATTTGAAACTAGCACCTCTGATTCTAAAGAAGGAAAATGAAGAAATTTTATTTTAGCACACAGACTTTCATTGGGCCCCACCCTACAGCCTTTGGGAGTGGGGTGGCTCAAAATTTACAAAGTATCAAACTGTCAACTTAGGGTTATAATTCCAATCAAGTTATCAACATGTAATATTCAAAGTATCATTTGCCATTATAAACCATAACAAATTTTGCCCCCCTCCTTCCCCAGGGGGAAACGCGAGACCCTAGGGTCATGAAATTCACAATTTTGGTAAAGCACCTTAAGACCCTTCCATCTATGAAGAGTATTTGATTCTACCATATCTGGGTCTTGAGAAGAAGATTTTTTTGAAATTTCAGTCAATTCAACCCTTTTTGGCCCCATCCATCAGCCCTGGGGGTCAGTCAGGGCTGATATGTGCATACCATCAAACTGCTATCAAATACTGATAACGCTAACCCAAATTGAATTACTTCCAATGGCAATTAAACAAATGTTAGTCCAAAATGTGATTTCCCTATGTAAACTATAGTAAAATTTACCCCCTCCCCAGGGGGAAACGTGAGACCCTAGGGTCATGAAATTCACAATTATAGTAAAGCACCTCAAGACCCTTCTATCTATGAAGGGTATTTGATTTTACCATATCTGGATCTTCAGAAGAAGATTTTTGAAAATTTAATCAGTTTTACCCTTTTTTCGCCCAGCCCCTCAGGCCCCTGGGGGCTGGGGACCATATTATTCACAATTTTAGTTGTCCTTTAGCCATGGAAGGTTTCTGCAAAATTTCATTGAAATTGGTTCAGGGGTTTTAGAGAAGAAGTCGAAAATGTAAATTGTTTACTGTCACTTGAGACTTTGTCTCGGGTGACCTAAAAAAATCTAAGTGAGTAGAGGCCCAATGGATATAACCCACGACCACCCCCATTTCTCCTCATCCCACTTTGCTCATGAATTGGCAAGATGGTTTTTTACTCTGGCAAAATATCTGATGGGAAGGAAATGACATCCACACTGGCAGCAAGTACTGATGGGAACGGTCCTTACCTAGTGGAGCAAATGGTTTGGTAGGCTTCTGATGGTGGGATTGTGGACTCCTGGTTGAGCCTGAAAACAAACAGCAAGGGCGATATTTATAATGTATACCGAGATGTTATAATATTACAGCATTCACTAAAGTTCTGTGGGCTTCACAGAAAGTGTTTGTTTGACCTGAAGTCTGAAGTTCCATGTACAAAACTATTTACAAACAACATCAATGTTTTCAGATCACAAACATTTCTTTTAAAATATTATTCCATTTTTGATTATATCAATGATCACCATGTGAAAATAAATGTTTTCACATTCAATTAACAGTTCTACATCAACAAACACCTTGAACTAAATCTCAAATACATTTATCTTCAGATAAGATACAAAGCTGTCAGAGAAAAGGTTACCCATATCACCAACCAAACACCATAGCAATACTCAAAGTACATGCTGTTGCTAAGATACTGGACCATTTCAAAAGGTTCCTTGGTGTGGTATATCTATATGTATTCACCCTTAATAACTACATATATGTGGTCTACTTGTGTAGCTTATTTTCATACAATTTAGAACTTTCAGTTAGTATTTAGTATACAAGTTGATAGATGCCAATCTTTATGAAGTCTAGAAAAGATCCCATCACCAGATGCTCAGTAAACCCGTGCTTTTCAAAAAACATATTCAATAGAAATCATTGTATATAACTGGTGTTCCCAGGCAGTTGTATCATGTCAGCATTAATTTAACTCGATAATGAATCACGCCTATAGCAGATTAACTTCTTACATAGTTCTGTATTTGATGTAGTTTTTTAGGGAAAACCACGGGAATTATTAAAACAGACTGCTCCATTTCTATTTCTGTTATATTTACACTCCAGGGACTACAGAGCTTTAGTGGAGTCAGTTATTTGTTCCCCTCAGGTTTGGTATACATGTTTCTTTAACAACTGTACTTTGAAATGTTCATCCACCAGTTAATCTATACCTAATACTGATATCTATTTCTATTATAAAACTCAAACATTTTGCTGTAAATCCTGTTAAACCGGAACCCTTTAAAACAGTCATCTGATGATCATGCTCAAACATTTAATACAAGCGATTAGATAGAGCATGCCATCAACAGTTATATCTTAAAAAACTTTAAAAAGGGGGGGCGGCACCCTTTCTTCCATAACAATATTTAAAATTAAAAGGACATGCATAAGCCGATACATGCTCCGCACATCTAGTATGTCAACCAACAGACACAAATTTATACTTAGTATAGCTATGTATTATCTATTGGAAAACTATAACATTTATACTAAGTATAGGTATGTATTATCTAATGGAAAACTACAACATTTATACTAAGTATAGGTATGTATTATCTGTTGGAAAACTGTAACATTTATACTAAGTATAGGTATGTATTATCTATTGGAAAACTATAACATTTATACTAAGTATAGGTATGTATTATCTGTTGGAAAACTATAACATTTATACTAAGTATAGGTATGTATTATCTATTGGAAAACTATAAAATGTATACTAAGTATATCTACCCAAGATCACATGATAACATAAACCTATACTAGGGTTACAGATATAAGAGTAAAATGTCTGATCAACAGTCTATTCCTACCAACAGGGCCCTGTTGTCCACAGCCTGATTCACTTCAGTCATCAGTTACGATTTAACTTTTATTTTAATTTGGTATTAGTTAAAAGAATCAGGATCAGGCAGTTGACAGCGGAGCCCAGCTGTATCGTCTACATACAAGCACACCAGTCCTATATATCAGCAGCACCATCACAGGAATTTGGTAAATTGGGAAAAAATGGTTTAAAAATATGAATATATTTAAGATCTTCCCCGAGTAAACTGATGCCATGAACCCTAGATGTGGTATAATATGTACCCGGGTCTGATCGCTGTTCTATTTCTCTGTCATCATCAGAATCCGACGCTAGCAACAGGTAAAACATGACTTTAACATTTATACCATCCTACCCTATATATATACGTATATATATGGCAAAATCTCATCATTCCATCAGCATAAATGAATTGATTTACGGCACAATTTTATCATGTAAGGACAACTTGAAGATAATCAGCATCAGTGCTGTCAAATTCTATACAAATCCTTACATTGTTTTACAATGTATGCTACATTAACCACAAAGTTTTAATGCTTAGAAGTGCTCCATATATAACACTAACAAGGCGTGCAAATCTAGCAACATTCTCAGTAACTTTCCCTCAGCAAGCAGTTAGCTATTGGTCACAAAGTATGGCTGATTACAAATATGATAAACATTTAATTCATGTCCGAGTATATTTTACAAGCCATTGCCCCTTCCGTAGCATGTTCCCCATGCAGAACAGTTTGTTAAGATGATTAGTTCGTTAAGATGAGTTTATGACCTATTACGTACTATACTCTAGGTCTGAGGTATTAAGCATTAATTGTGCGATACCTTTTTGTCGTTTATTTTGTCATTATTGTCACCTATCAGTTACCTTCTTGATCTGATTCTGTAATCAATATAAATCAATATAAAGCCACATTGCAAAGTTTACAAAAATGTTATATAATATATTGTTAACTCAAATTCAGCCTATAAAGGCATGGGATGAACGTGACAAACACTGACAACACTTATATAAGTTAATACACACACAGCTACAGCAAATCAACTTATATAAGTTAATACACACACAGCTACAGCAAATCAACTTATATAAGTTAATACACACACAGCTACAGCAAATCAACTTATATAAGTTAATACACACACAGCTACAGCAAATCAACTTATATAAGTTAATACACACACAGCTACAGCAAATCAACTTATATAAGTTAATACACACACAGCTACAGCAAATCAACTTATATAAGTTAATACACACACAGCTACAGCAAATCAACTTATATAAGTTAATACACACACAGCTACAGCAAATCAACTTATATAAGTTAATACACACACAGCTACAGCAAATCAACTTATATAAGTTAATACACACACAGCTACAGCAAATCAACTTATATAAGTTAATACACACACAGCTACAGCAAATCAACTTATATAAGTTAATACACACACAGCTACAGCAAATCAACTTATATAAGTTAATACACACACAGCTACAGCAAATCAACTTATATAAGTTAATACACACACAGCTACAGCAAATCAACTTATATAAGTTAATACACACACAGCTACAGCAAATCAACTTATATAAGTTAATACACACACAGCTACAGCAAATCAACTTATATAAGTTAATACACACACAGCTACAGCAAATCAACTTATATAAGTTAATACACACACAGCTACAGCAAATCAACTTATATAAGTTAATACACACACAGCTACAGCAAATCAACTTATATAAGTTAATACACACACAGCTACAGCAAATCAACTTATATAAGTTAATACACACACAGCTACAGCAAATCAACTTATATAAGTTAATACACACACAGCTACAGCAAATCAACTTATATAAGTTAATACACACACAGCTACAGCAAATCAACTTATATAAGTTAATACACACACAGCTACAGCAAATCAACTTATATAAGTTAATACACACACAGCTACAGCAAATCAACTTATATAAGTTAATACACACACAGCTACAGCAAATCAACTTATATAAGTTAATACACACACAGCTACAGCAAATCAACTTATATAAGTTAATACACACACAGCTACAGCAAATCAACTTATATAAGTTAATACACACACAGCTACAGCANAAGTTTGTCCTCCTGGCCTTCCTCAAGGGTGAAAGTCAACGATAGATTCAGGTTAAGTCCACCTTGCTCCTTCAGCAGTTGTTTTTTCTCTACGTCCGAAGAAGCAAGATGGATATGCCTATCATTGACTTCGGCCTTGATGAGGGCCAGCAGGCTGAAATATGTTGGGACTTTTCCTTAAGGAAATCAACTGTTTTTTATTATGTAGATATATTTATCTTACTGTAAAAACAGATGAATGTTAGGGCTGTTTATTAAGGTAAGCTGTGTACTAGTTAGGTTAAACTTCTGTGTTTTCACTTACCAAAGAGTTCGGACATAGTGTTGGAGGCAGACTGTGCCATGTCGTTGAGCTCGTTACTGATGGTTGAGATGAGAGAGGAAGGTGTTGAGGCGCGATCTGATTGGTTGTCCTTGTCTGTAGGTATTGTCTGTGGAGGATAATTATAAGGTGTAAACCTGTCTAGGATTATCTTCAATGGGAACAAAGAAACAAAATGTACATCAGGCAGGTGCCCTGTTAATGCAGGATGTGAAGCAAGAACCTGTAAAACTCTGAGGTACAGTCGAGGGATAACATGTAGTTGTTATTCACTTTGATTTTGTTGAGCAGACTCTACATCTTCTCTCAAACATTTCCAAGTTGTGTAAGAAGTAACTACCATGGGTCTGTGTGACACTATTTACAACCATGATGTATAATGTATACAAATAAATTATGTTTTCAAAATAATTATATTTGTACATTGTATATATATGTACAACGTATATAGTACCTTAACCAGAGATGGTATCAACACCACCCAATTCTCGCCTGCTTAAACATTTATCGTCTTTAAAAAATATAGCTCCCTGTTCTTCGAACATTCATTGTAAACAAAATGTCTAGCCGTGTTAGGAAACTGTTACCGCGTCAGCTACGAAGCGAAAAGTTGCCAAATGGTCAAAAGATAGCGCAAAGATTACGTTACGGAATCATTATTGCAGGCGGGAAGTATTCAAAAGAGAAAATAATTGTCCTAGCAGTTAGTACGTTGCATGTATTCTTTTGGATAGCCGGTTAAGCTGAAAAGGAATCGACAGAAATGCTGTTAATGTCATGAATAAATATCTAAATCTATTACCTCGCTAGTATCTTTGTCTGAGTTGGAACAAAGATAAACTTTTTTTGTTATGTTAATTGGCATGTATCGGAGAGAGTTTACTTTGTGTTTCTATAAACAGTAGTTTATGCGAAAGGAAGGGATAAATGACTGGTTAGTTTGATTTTGCTATGAGGCCTGTTGTGATAGCCACAGAATATTCCGTTCTCTCCTCTGTCAGTACTTGGGGTCAAATGAGATACGTGCGCTATTAGATTTACATAATTTAGATTCAGTAAAATGATATGATTTAATTATATTGCTGAAGTAAACGATTTTTTTTATTTACATGCAAGATTTGAATATGTCAAAATGACGGTTCAGGATGAATAACTGAGGAAGGAGAACCTATAGTTCTACTTAAAGTAAAAAGGATTGCATAACAAAAATATTTTTAAATCGTTATGTTTCAACAGTTCATGTTTTCACATGATGTTGACTTAGAATGTATGATCATGCAACAACGTTTTCTCTATAAATAATTAATTTTCGACTTCGTATAGAATCGGAATACGCATTGAAAACGGGTAAAGGCATTTGTTTACGTTGTAAAAATGATGCGTGCTGATGATATCCACGGCTTCTGTTTCTAACAAAAATAACTGATGAAAGAAAAGTTGTATCAACATAAAAAAGGTTCCATTTACAAGTATGCTTTAATCTCTGTAAAGTATTGAAAACATAAAATTATCAAGTATCTCAACACGTTCCATATCTGACACATATTCTACATGTACACGTAGTGGTGTTGCCCTACAGTTAATTGTGTGTGATGGCTAATACGACTTACTAAATGTTAGCGTATGAAGACAGTGAAAGTGGGAAAGAGGGTAACATGAATATTATATAATGCATGGTCCAGAAAAAAAGTGGCCAAAGACAGAGTTGTACAATGTAATTTTTAAAAAAAATCACAAACTTTTCTCTTTTTTATACTTGTCAATGCATATACACTTTATAAAAGTAATTGAAAAGGGATATTCATCTCGTGAATATTCCTTTTTACAGAAAGGTTTGTCCATTGGCTGAGGGAAGGTGCTTAGCCCCGTTCCATTTGTACCGGTCACATTCCTGTAATAGATATATCCTGGTGTCTATAAATAATACCGAGTTGCCAACAAATATTTCTTCATTTAAATTCTGGATATTTGCACGTATGCAATTAACTTCTGATGATAAATAATTACTGAATCAATAAGTTTCAGCATGGACTTAGAAATCATATTACTTGGTTTCATATATAGTGCGGTAAGAAGTTGCAGTTGCCTGACAGCCCCTCTCTGGGGGCCCCTTTGTTTCTCGTTCAGATCACCTGTGTTTACTGCCTCGTTTCAAAACCGCCAGGCGCTATTCTCAACAGGGTTTTCCCGAACAATTCAAGTGGTCAAACTGGACATTTGGAACGGACTATGACTATTGGGATAGCAAGGTAACATAAGTGGAAGTGCATACAACACATACATTCATAAACAAAATGGCTCTTCACGTGATATCCCTTTAAGCGAATCTAAATCTTCAGGTAATTGTACTCATTTCATTGAGGAATGAACCTTTAGAATGTCCAGTCCATTCTTTACAGACACCATTTCTCTGTGTTATGTACTGAATCGGTAACTAGCTGCTGTACCTTGAAGCCGGGACTAACATGCCGTGTCTGCAGCCCCTGGACATTGGGAGGGCGAGGCTGAGATCCTCCGTTGGGTGCCCCCTTACCCTCCACACCTAGTGGTAGGTTGTTCTTGTCCATCAATGATGCTTTCTCATATGCTTCAAATGCAGAGTTGATGCTGCGAGATAGAGGTTGAAGCGATGGTCGCTTTGGTAACTCTGGTGTACTGTTGGCTGATCCAACACTGTCTGAACGACTATAAATACAAAGAGAATACACAGTTAGTATCTATAAATACATAGAGAATACACACTGTTTGTATTTGTAAATACATAGTGAATACACACTGCCACTCCATCCACCAGGCTTACACCCTACACTCTGATTCTTCTGCCACTCTATCCACCAGGCTTCCATTCTACCCTCTATGGTTCTTCTGCCACTCTATCCCCCAGGCTTACCCCCTACACTCTATGATTCTTCTGCCACTCTATACTACAGGCTTACACCCCACACTCTATGTTTCTTCTGCCACTCTATCCACCAGGCTTACATTCTACCCTCTATGGTTCTTCTGCCACTCTATTCCCCGGGCTTACCCCCGACACTCTATGGTTCTCCAGCCACTCTATCCACCAGGCTTACACCCTACTCTCTATGGTTCCTCTGCCACTCTATCCACCAGACTTACGCCCTACACTCTATGGTTCCCCTGCCACTCTATCCCCCAGGCTTACACCCTACTCTCTATGGTTCCTCTGCCACTCTATTCACCAGGCTTCCACCCTACACTCTATGGTTCTTCTGCCACTCTACCCACCAGGCTTACCCCCTACACTCAATGGTTCTTCTGTCACTCTATCCAACAGAATTACACCCTACACTCTATGGTTCTTCTGCCACTCCATCCACCAGGCTTACACCCTACCCTCTATGGTTCTTCCGCCACTCTATTCTACAGGCTTACACCCTACACTCTATGGTTCCTCTGCCTCTCTATCCACCAGGCTTACACCCTACACTCAATGGTTCTTCTGTCACTCTATGCACCAGAATTACACCCTACACTCTATGGCAGGCTTACGCCCTACACTCTATGGTTCCTCTGCCACATTATCCACCAGGCTTACACGCTACACTCTATGGTTCCTCTGCCACTCTATCCCCCAGGCTTCCACCCTACACTCTATGGTTCCTCTGCCACATTATCCACCAGGCTTACACCCTACACTCAATGGTTCTTCTGTCACTCTATCCACCAGAATTAAACCCTACACTCTATGGTTCTTCTGCCACTCTACCCACCAGGCTTACACCCTACACTCTATAGTTCTTCTGCCACTCCATCCACCAGGATTACCCCCCAGGCTTACACCCTACATTCTATGGTTCCTCTGCCACTCTATTAACCAGGCTTAAATCCTACACTCTATGGTTCTTCTGCCACTCCATCCACCAGCTCTGCCACTCTATTCACCAGGCTTACGCCCTACACTCTATGGTTCCTCTGCCACATTATCCACCAGGCTTACACCCTACACTTTATGGTTCTTCTGCCACTCTATCCTACGGCTTTAACCCTACACTCTATGGTTCTTCTGCCACTCTATTCCCCGGGCTTACCCCCGACACTCTATGGTTCTCCAGCCACTCTATCCACCAGGCTTACACCCTACTCTCTATGGTTCCTCTGCCACTCTATTCACCAGGCTTACGCCCTACACTCTATGGTTCCTCTGCCACATTATCCACCAGGCTTACACCCTACACTCTATGGTTCTCCAGCCACTCTATCCACCAGGCTTACACCCTACTCTCTATGGTTCCTCTGCCACTCTATTCCCCAGGCTTACACCCTACACTCTATGGTTCCTCTGCCTCTCTATCCACCAGGCTTACACCCTACATTCTATGGTTCCTATGCCACTCTATTCACCAGGCTTAAATCCTACACTCTATGGTTCTTCTGGCACTCTATCCACCAGACTTACGCCCTATACTCTATGGTTCCTCTGCCACTCTATCCCCCAGGCTTCCACCCTACACTCTATGGTTCTTCTGCCACTCCATCCACCAGCTCTGCCACTCTATTCACCAGGCTTACATCCTACACTCTATGGTTCTTCTGGCACTCTATCCACCAGACTTACGCCCTATACTCTATGGTTCCTCTGCCACTCTATCCCCCAGGCTTACGCCCTACACTCTATGGTTCCTCTGCCACATTATCCACCAGGCTTACACCCTACACTCTATAGTTCTTCTGCCACTCCATCCACCAGGATTACACCCTACACTCTAAGGTTCTCCAGCCACTCTATCCACCAGGCTTACACCCTACACTCTATGATTCTTCTGCCACTCTATCCTACAGGCTTACACCCCACACTCTATGGTTCTTCTGCCACTCTATCCACCAGGCTTACACCCTACACTCAATGGTTCTTCTGTCACTCTATCCACCAGAATTACACCCTACACTCTATGGTTCTTCTGCCACTCTATCCACCAGGCTTACATTCTACACTCTATGGTTCTTCTGCCACTCCATCCACCAGGCTTACCCCCTACCCTCTGTGGTTCCCCAGCCACTCTATCCACCAGGCTTACACCCCACACTCTATGGTTCTCCAGCCACTCTATCCACCAGGCTTACACCCTACACTCTATAGTTCTTCTGCCACTCCATCCACCAGGATTACACCCTACACTCTAAGGTTCTCCAGCCACTCTATCCACCAGGCTTACACCCCACACTCTATGGTTCTTCTGCCACTCTACCCAACAGGCTTACACCCTACACTCTATGGTTCTTCTGCCACTCCATCCACCAGGCTTACACCCTACACTCTGTGGTTCTCCAGCCACTCTATCCACAAGGCTTACACCCCACACTCTATGGTTCTTCTGCCACTCTATCCACTCTATCCACCAGGCTTACACCCTACACTCTGTGGTTCTTCTGCCACTCTATCCTACAGGCTTACACCCTACACTCTATGGTTCTTCCGCCACTCTATTCTACAGGCTTACACCCTACACTCTATGGTTCTTCTGCCACTCTATCCCCCAGGCTTACATTCTACACTCTATGGTTCTTCTGCCCCTCTATTCACCTGGCTTACCCCCTACCCTCTATGGTTCTCCAGCCACTCTATCCACCAGGCTTACACCCCACACTCTATGGTTCTCCAGCCACTCTATCCACCAGGCTTACACCCTACCCTCTATGGTTCTTCTGCCACTCTATTCACCTGGCTTACACCCTACCCTCTATGGTTCTCCGGCCACTCTATCCACCAGGGTTACACCCTACACTCTATGGTTCTTCTGCCACTCTATCCCCCAGGCTTACATTCTACACTCTATGGTTCTTCTGCCCCTCTATTCACCTGGCTTACCCCCTACACTCTATGGTTCTCCAGCCACTCTATCCACCAGGCTTACACCCTACACTCTGTGGTTCTCCGGCCACTCTATCCACCAGGCTTACACCCTACACTCTGATTCTTCTGCCACTCTATGCACCAGGCTTACACCCTTCACTCTATGGTTCTCCGGCTGTGGTTCTCTATGGTTCTTAAGTAAAAAATGTTTAAAAGAGAAAGTTGTTGGCCATGCACCATACCATAAACTGACAGGTACTTCATGCCAGGTGAGCTAAATACTATTTATATTAGCATGATAGGCATCCTTTGATCACAAACAGCATCTCCAATAAGATGGAAAATAACTTACCCGACCACACATCTACTTGTAGGGGTTACATTCCCTGAATCATACTTAAAGAAATCTTGAGCAACCTGTAAACAATAAATTTAATGTTACATGTTATCAATTGAAATTTAATGTTACATGTTATCAATTGAAATTTAATGTATACAATGATCTACATGTAGATCTCCAATAAGATAAAACTTTGCCAGTTACACTTTGATTAAAAAATATGTCATTTCAAATCTTGATCATAAATAAACTTGTACAGGTACAGACAATTCCTCTGGTCAATTGGCAATATTTTAGTCATCTTGACCTTGACTGGCCCCGACTGACCTTGTTATCGACCTGAGGGACCGGTTCTGACACGTGACTGACCCCATTATCGAGTACATGAGAGAGCCTCTCGGAGCCTGGAACCTCCCTGCTGTACGTGGGACTGGACGACTCGGAGCTGCTCAGGTCACTTTCCTGCATGGAGAATGCGGAATCACTGGTGGTGACCGGGGTGTCCGGCAGATGGAGTTTGTTTGGTGGTGTGTAAACCTTGGACTCGTCCACTGACAAAACCTGATTCTCCGGTACAAAACCTGGAAACAAAGCAGAATCTCATCTAAATGTTTGATATAGTTTAACTAAGTAGTTTTGTTTCAAAATACAGTAAATAGGATAACAAAGAAGTCCCTGTTTGTTTTTCATGAAACAAGTTTTATTGTATTTCATAATGGTACATGAAACGTAACCAACTTTTGAGATGATAATAATTTGAGGTTCTTATTCTTGCTCAAGGTTACAACACAGTGCCGTGTCGTGTCTCGAACCCACAACCCCTTTGGTCACGAGCCCAGCGTCCTACCACTAGACTACCGTGCCTCCAAAATTCATTTCAAATAATCCTACTTCAATGATATATACATTTTTCAGTTCCTGTGATACAAAACCAAGTAACACACACTGGTTTGAGACAAAACTTTTGTGTCGCATAGCTTGAAAAGATCTCCTTTTTGCCTAGGCCTTAAGAGATGTTTTTCAATGAAAGGTAAGAAGGATAACTTCGAAATATATCCTGACATTTCGCACTGATGTATCACATGCATTGTGTGATGTTGTTTGTTATAATTTTCTGTTAAATGAATTAGTTTTTCAGGGAACAATGAAAAGTTTTACAGAAATTGTAAGTATGTTATAATCATTTGTCAAAACAACAATGTTATGTAAGCTTTCTGTTGTTTGTTGTCAACTGTACACCAATTATACAACTGGCACATACATATGTAATGAATTAAGAAAAGCATTTAGAGCTCCAGAGTTACCTCCCTTTAATACAATTGACTATATAAGTGAGGGGTACATACAGAGGGTGTCTCCATCAATCTCACTGTTGACCATATCTGTGACCAGATTTACCTCCCTTTAATACAATTGACTATAGAAGTGAGGGGTACATACAGGGGGTGTCTCGTTCAGTTTCACTGTTGACCATATCTGTGACCAGAGTTACCTCCCTTTAATACATTTGACTATAGAAGTGAGGGTACATTCAGGGGGTGTCTCCATCAATCTCATTGTTGACCATATCTGTGACCAGAGTTCCCTCCCTTTAATACAATTGACTATAGGAGTGAGGGGTACATACGGGGGGTGTCTCGTTCAGTTTCACTGTTGGCCATATCTGTGACCAGAGTTACCTCCCTTTAATGCAATTGACTATAGAAGTGAGGGGTAAATACAGGGGGGGTCTCCATCAATCTCACTGTTGACCATATATGTGACCAGAGTTACCTCCCTTTAATACATTTGACTATAGAAGTGAGGGTACATACAGGGGGTGTCTCCATCAATCTCATTGTTGACCATATCTGTGACCAGAGTTTCCTCCCTTTAATACAATTGACTATATAAGTGAGGGGTACATACAGAGGGTGTCTCCATCAATCTCACTGTTGACCATATCTGTGACGAAATCACTGAGTGAGGAGTAGGACGAACTGGTACTCTCCGCTCCATCGCTGTCACTGCCACTCTCATCTACAACACATTAGTCATGTCTCCAATGTATAACACACAAGTTATAGTTGACACTTATAATGTGGAGGAAACCTACAAAACATAATTACCTGTAGGGCTGTCATCACTAAGAAGTAAGAAAGCACCTTGTAAGTATGTAGTTTGTCATAGCAGAAAGCCAAAGTTACCATTCTGCTTCATCATTCTGTCCTCTTACTACTCCATGAAAAGGGAAAAGTACCTACAGACTCTTTATAACACTACAACTCACAAGTGTTGGCTACAACAGATAATCTGTAATTAAACATTATTTTTTCATTGAAACCCTGCCAGAACAAACTCTAGCTTCAAGGCCACTTGGACTGGTAGTCCACCAGCAGAGAACTCTAGAAAACAGACCCACCTGTAGGGTTGTCGTCACTAATGAGATCCATGGAGGAAGTGACTGCTGCAGCAAGTGATGAGTTGTCATCATACACTTTGAACTCCAGGCTCTGAAGCTGGTGGGCGTACCATTTGGGCTTGTCCCCAATCAGGAGGGGGTCAAATACTGATGTCTGTACACGTAGGAATACCACATTCTTTGGACATAGTGACCATTCTGCATAGTACTCAACAGCCTGGTGATAAAGTGTTTATCAATGATTAAAAACTGAAAGTGATTGATTCCAATCATTCGTTTTATTGATAGACAAACAATGAACAGTAACGCTGAGAATCATTCATAACTGTAGAATAAATTTACCTTATTTTACAACATGAATATTAACTTGGGTCTCAGATATGTGAGAAAGTATAAAATAAAACTCTATAATACGCACAGTAGTTAATTAGCTGTAAAACTTGCATGATGTTGTGGGGTAAAAGTCACATTTTCAGCATTACCTGTGATCGTGCTAGCCTAGCGGTGAAGTGGGTTCTTGCCGGTCGAGACTTAAGGAAGCTGTACATCTGAAAGGCCACCACTGGTCGAGGGTAAAGTCTCAGCGTTCTTGTGTGCTCTGTGAAATTGCCCAGCGTATTTGCGGAATTGAAGAACCTGATCTGAAAACAACAAAATAATTGATTGATAGAGCGACAGATTCGACATCCCCTGCTATCAGAACAAAGATGCAGCTGTAGTCGGTTGTTTAAGTTTGTTAATATATACTTGTATCTGTATATACTACCAATCTGTATATACCAGTTGTACGACTTGTGTTGCCAATCTGTATTTACTTGGTGTTAGACTTGTATTGCCAATCTGCAAATACTTGGTGTAAGACTTGTATTGCCAATCTGTAAATACTTGGTGTAAGACTTGTGTTGCCAATCTGTATATACTTGGTGTAAGACGTGTATTGCCAATCTGTATATACTTGGTGTTAGACTTGTATTGCCAATCTGTATATACTTGGTGTTAGACTTGTGTTGCCAATCTGTATATACTTGGTGTAAGACTTGTATTGCCAATCTGTATATACTTGGTGTTAGACTTGTATTGCCAATCTGTATATACTTGGTGTAAGACTTGTATTGCCAATCTGTAAATACTTGGTGTTAGACTTGTATTGCCAATCTGTATATACTTGGTGTAAGACTTGTATTGCCAATCTGTAAATACTTGGTGTTAGACTTGTATTGCCAATCTGTATATACTTGGTGTAAGACTTGTATTGCCAATCTGTAAATACTTGGTGTTAGACTTGTATTGCCAATCTGTATATACTTGGTGTAAGACTTGTATTGCCAATCTGTATATACTTGGTGTTAGACTTGTATTGCCAATCTGTATATACTTGGTGTAAGACTTGTATTGCCAATCTGTAAATACTTGGTGTTAGACTTGTATTGCCAATCTGTATATATACTTGGTGTTAGACTTGTATTGCCAATCTGTATATATACTTGGTATAAGACTTGTATTGCCAATCTGTATATACTTGGTATAAGACTTGTATTGCCAATCTGTATATACTTGGTATAAGACTTATATTGCCAATCTGTATATACTTGGTATAAGACTTGTATTGCCAATCTGTATATACTTGGTATAAGACTTATATTGCCAATCTGTATATACTTGGTATAAGACTTGTATTGCCAATCTGTATATACTTGGTATAAGACTTATATTGCCAATCTGTATATACTTGGTATAAGACTTGTATTGCCAATCTGTATATACTTGCTAACTTAGTATGCAACTGCATTACTAAATGTGGTTGAAAAACATCTAGCTTTTTGAAGTTGAAGGGCAGTTATATCACAGAAATCAATTAACCAATGAGAATCAAGTGGCCTCATTTATTATGTGTAAATATGCATGGTGGTCAAACTTAGCTTGAGACTTGTAACTATAAGTTTGTTTGAAATCTTTAAGGGCAGTTATTAGATGGAAACCAGTTAACGATCAGAATCAAGTAAACTGTTAATGCTTCAATAATTATGTATTTAATATAAATTACCATAAACTTGCAAAATACTTTGCCCAGCATGCCTTGTGAGGAATCTATATGATCTTGTTAAGTATAACAGCCAATGGAGTGCACAATGGGAGTCCATAAATCTTAACCTGTATACTGAGACAAGAGGAAAAGGAGTCTCCAAGATATAATTAACAAATATTAACAATAAAATGTTAGAAAATCACGAACACCACATCAACCTTCTGCCTACCATTCTGAGACGGTACAACGTCAGTATTCTGTAGGTGATAATGGATGTGTTAACCTTTAAGAAATTCCAAGTTTGGCTTATTCTCATGTCTAATGCTTCCTAAATGATTTTACCACCACTCTGCATTCCTGATACACAATCCTATTTTTCCAGGTTTGTGGTAGTCAAGTTGCTTTGTGATCCAATAAAACACAATTATGTATGCTGGAAAGGCCTTTATACTGATAATGGTATTTTCTTACTCCCTTGTAGATCATCATGTCAAAACAACAAATGATCAAAAGTCATACATTATACTATTTCATTTGGAAACCCATCTGACTTCATTTTTGCTGCCTGTTTGTGTTGTATGTTTGTGTTGTATGTGCGGGGATTTTTTATTGCTTTTGTCTGTGTATTTGAGTGTGTATCTGGTTTTTGATTGGTCCTTCCTGTTTGTTAGGGTGAAGAAAGTGGTTTGTGATAGGACCAGCTTGCTTTGAATAGGTATATCAGAAGGTCTTTTACTGCAGGTCACATCTGTGTTTTGGATCAAAATGTTTTGATTGGTCCTACCTGCTTGTTTGAATGTATCAAAGGAGGTTTTTGATTGGTCCACCTGCTTGTTTGAATGTATCAAAGGAGGTTTTTGATTGGTCCTACCTGTTTGTTTGTGTATCAAAGGAGATTTTTGATTGGTCCCGTCTGTGACACTACATTTCACACAGGCAGCCTCCATTCAATTTGTTTTCAATGTACAATGTTATATCTATATGGCCGATTTGTTTAGAGAAGACATACACTGCAGGCGTATCAATTTGATATATAGCTGTTCCAATCAATATCTTCCCTTGCTATGCCGAGTGCCAGTTCACATCCACTGACCTCGTTTTGCCCGTATTATTGATTCTTGCCCTAAGCTAAGGTGTCAACAAATTGAATTAATTCACCAGCAAGTAATTCATTTTACACTTAAATCTCAATATTCTTATTCACAATATTCAATTATTTCCTTAGCCAAAACTGTTGATCTACATTGTTTATTCTTGACCTAAATTGTTTATTAAAACGGTTAAGTCAGCCACCTATACAAAATAAGTCAGAAATATATGTACAAAGCTGACAAAGATATCAACGTTTACAGTTTACATAATTATATTACAATTTTGGAAACAAAAATGATATTACTGAGTTCACTGGCCTCATTCTATAATATTCTAAGCTTGCTACATTATCCCTTTATATATCTATAGCAGCACCCATATCTTACAGCCCACCCACACATCTTACAGTGCCCGTGTATCGACCTACAGCTATTACTAGAATACTCATCAGCTCAGGTTACTGTCCTCCTGGAGTAAACTATACCTTTATTGGGGAATGTGACAAATAAACAACTAATTCCTTTCCAGGCAAGTTTGATGCTAAGCCACTTATAAGGTAACAAAATCATTTTTTTGATAGAACATAAAATATGCTGTTAATTATCTTCAGTAATTGTTACACAAATATGTGATGAAATAAAACAAATCCCCAAAACAATTTTAAAGCAATTATAACAAAAATAAATCCCGATTTCTGTCAGACTGGTTCCTTCCCAAAACTATTTACACAGAATAACATCAACTGAACCAGGACAAGGTGTGTGTTAGGCTACCTACCATTGCCACGCGTGTCACCACTCCAACAGATTCAGGACAAGGTGTGTGTTAGGCTACCTACCATTGCCACGCGTGTCGCCACATCAACAGAATCAACATCGTTTCCATATATCAGTGGATTGAATCCTGTCTGCGATGAGAAACTTTCTCGCCTCTTCATGGTGTCTGGGTTCTGAGCGAGGGCATCCAAGTTTTTGATTGGCTGGGGCGTCATACTCATACTTGCCAGTGCCTGAAAAAGTAAAGGAAACATATCAGCATATCATACAAAGAAACCAACACCAAATTAAGAACAGTTCTAGAATTAAACTGTAAAGAAATAACACTCAACAAGAGGCTTAGATGTCTTGTATCACTCACCTGGACATAATACTTAAACATTGTAATCAATTAATTTCATGAAAAATAATGCTGGAAATATTTGCCAATTTTGGGCTCTCAGTATCCATAGAGACGACATCCTTCCTTTACCTAATAGTTAATTCCCTAGTCCAAAGGATGCTTTATATCAAGTTTGGTTAAATGAATTACCAACTTCGAAGGTCACCAGAGAAACATGTGGGTAGATGATGGATGTAATAGTTGGATGGACAAATAATAATCTTGATAACATCGCTAAAGGTTACATAGTATTACACGAGACCTCGATATTGGTCATTCAAAAGAAGTTGTCTGAAAACTGTAGGACATCAGGACTTGAAAGAATGTCAATATCATTGACTTCATTGCTGAGAACATAATAAAGAAAGTAAATTCTCGTCTACATTTTTTGTACAGACAATGTAAAAATCTTCCTCTGGACATAAGAAAGACGCTTTGTAATTATCTAGTGCTTAATGTAATTTTGACTACTGCTGCTCAGCCTGGTATTATGGTTTAAATCAAAGGTTAAAAAAACAGTTGCAAGTAGCACAGAACAGATGTGTACATTTGTTTAACTTGTGATTTTGGGCCAAGGACGAGAATAGATGGTAAAGTCTTAACAAATCTGAATCTTTTGAATGTTGAAAACCGAGCAAAGCAATTGGGCTTAAACCAATGTTCAATGTATTTCACGAAACTTGTCCAAGTTATATTACAGAAAAAATTACGAAGGTTAATGAACGCCATGGATACGCAACTAGAAAATCATCTTTAAACTTTACACTGCCATGTGTAAAAGGTCAGATGTCAAAGACTTTCTTTTACAACGGGATTCAGATTTGGAACGTTTTTACCTTCTGATATACAGTCTATAGCAAACAAAATAAATTTAAAGAAGAGAGTGAAAACATTTTTACAGCAGAGTTCTTGATATTTTATGACTAGTTATGTGTAACACATAATGCGTTTTATGCAACAGAGACCGTTAGTGTTTTGTACTTATATGAATACCACCATATGTGACACAGAACATAGGGTGGTGATGTTAATTTTGTGCTCAATAATTATTACCCTGTGATAAACATATGTATGTATTGACTTGTAATCGTATTTGTAAAATGATCGTATTTATGTTATGTGTTAGGGACCACAGTGGAAATAAGAGTGTGACTTTACTGTGTTATCCCGGTAAAACATGTATTGTATTGCCCATGTGATGTACTTTTATGTATCGATGCAATGTTTTACCAAATAAATCTATCTATCTATCTATCTATCTATCATCCATTTAAATCAATCTGATAGCCCTTCATCCCTACATGCATGATGCTACAGACCAAATGTCTTGGTGATTCAGAAGAATCAGTTAAATGTTTTACACATTGGACCCCTGTTATGATAAAGTGGGGCAAGGTCATTTATTTGAACAAATACTTGGTAGCCAATTACCTAAACATGCTATAGGCCAAATATCGTGAGATCTATAAATCATTCAGAGAAAAACGTTTAAAACTTCTATCATTTGACCATGAACAACAATTTTAAAGTCATTTATTTAAACAATCCTAATAGAATTCATTTCAGAATGCTGCACGCCAAATAGCATAAGCCTAGGCCTACTGGTTGTTCCACAAATGTTATTTGAAAATTTAAACATATCTGATCGTGGTAACCTTAAATGTAGGTCAAGGCCATTTAATCTGAGGAAACTTTATAGTCCTTAACACCCAGGAAACTTTATAGTCCTTAACACCCAGGAAACTTTATAGTCCTTAACACCAAGTATCTAGTGGCCTCGATTAATCTTGATTACTCGGCTAAGATAGTAAAAGCCCTTCTGCCATAAGTTAACCTGTATTGCCATTAGACTGCTGCCAGATGTCAAAGATGACACAGACCTAACACATTACATAAGGGAATGATGTGCAGGGCTGATCCTCATGACGCCCGTATTCATGAAACCGTTCTCGTGCTCAAGCATGTATTCTGTGCTCAAACCCACTTTCTTGGCTTAAATTCATGTTACACGGTCAAAAATAAAGTTTAAACATCGAAAATGGTATTCAGCTCTAAAACTCTCCCTAATTCATCCAGTCCAGATCAGTGACAAAATGATTTTTTTTTTATATAAATTTATTACTGGAATAAGAAATTGGGCTCATATATGATGTATATGGGGTGGGGGTAGGGGGGTAGGGGGGTAGGGGTGGCGACAGGGGGAATTGTAACTAAGTCTTAGATACATGTGTCACCAGGCCAACACAATACGTTAACCTGCTGGAGTCCTATCTCCATTACCACATCAACTGTTTGTGTAACATTTCGAAAGGCCTTATACGCCTCGAGTAATTGATGTTTCTAAATCCCTTTAGAGACCAAACAATCGTGTTCTAGCTGATAGAGAAAATCAATGCTAACCCTAGTAAATGATTTTTAAATCGTGTGTAAATTAAACTAAGTTGTAAATAATATGACATAAATTACGAAGGTCTGATGCTACTGACATTCCTATCTTCATTACACAATCATTATTGATTACACAATGCTTTCGACTTTAACAAATGCTGTTCTAAACTGATGACTTGATTGTGTTAAGACATTATTTTCTACATAGGTGATGACGTTTGACGACGCGGTCCTATTGTGAACTGGTGACATTTTCAGAAAAGAAGCCCCTGTGAGAGTTGTCTTTCCCTAGCTAAATTAAAGGTTCAGTATTTATGTGTTATGTGAGAGTTGTCTTTCCCTAGCTAAATTAAAGGTCAAGTATTAATGTGTTATGTAAGAGTTGTCTTTCCCTAGCTAAAAGGCCCAGTATTAACGTTAACATGTTATGTGAGAGTTGTCTTTCCCTAGCTAAAAGGTCAAGTATTAACTTGTTATGTGAGAGTTGTCCTTACCTAGCTAAAAGGCCCAATATTAACGTGTTATGTGAGAGTTGTCTTTCCCTAACTAAAAGGTCCAATATTAACGTGTTATTTGAGAGTTGTCTTTCCCTAGTTAAAAGGCCCAGTATATACGTGTTATGTGAGAGTTGTCTTTCCCTAGCTAAAAGGCCCAGTAAAAATGTGTTATGTGAGAGTTGTCTTTCCCTAGCTAAAAGGCCCAGTATTAACGTGTTATGTGAGAGTTGTCTTTCCCTAGCTAAATTAAAGGTCAAGTATTAATGTGTTATGTGAGAGTTGTCTTTCCCTAGCTAAAAGGCCCAGTATAAACGTGTTATGTGAGAGTTGTCTTTCCCTAGCTAAAAGGCCCAGTATTAACGTGTTATGTGAGAGTTGTCTTTCCCTAGCTAAAAGGCCCAGTATTAACGTGTTATGTGAGAGTTGTCTTTCCCTAGCTAAAAGGCCCAGTATTAACGTGTTATGTGAGAGTTGTCTTTCCCTAGCTAAAAGGCCCAGTATTAACGTGTTATGTGAGAGTTGTCTTTCCCTAGCTAAAAGGCCCAGTATTAACGTGTTATGTGAGAGTTGTCTTTCCCTAGCTAAAAGGCCCAGTATTAACGTGTTATGTGAGAGTTGTCTTTCCCTAGCTAAAAGGCCCAGTATTAACGTGTTATGTGAGAGTTGTCTTTCCCTAGCTAAAAGGCCCAGTATTAACGTGTTATGTGAGAGTTGTCTTTCCCTAGCTAAAAGGCCCAGTATTAACGTGTTATGTGAGAGTTGTCTTTCCCTAGCTAAAAGGCCCAGTATTAACGTGTTATGTGAGAGTTGTCTTTCCCTAGCTAAAAGGCCCAGTATTAACGTGTTATGTGAGAGTTGTCTTTCCCTAGCTAAAAGGCCCAGTATTAACGTGTTATGTGAGAGTTGTCTTTCCCTAGCTAAAAGGCCCAGTATTAACGTGTTATGTGAGAGTTGTCTTTCCCTAGCTAAAAGGCCCAGTATTAACGTGTTATGTGAGAGTTGTCTTTCCCTAGCTAAAAGGCCCAGTATTAACGTGTTATGTGAGAGTTGTCTTTCCCTAGCTAAAAGGCCCAGTATTAACGTGTTATGTGAGAGTTGTCTTTCCCTAGCTAAAAGGCCCAGTATTAACGTGTTATGTGAGAGTTGTCTTTCCCTAGCTAAAAGGCCCAGTATTAACGTGTTATGTGAGAGTTGTCTTTCCCTAGCTAAAAGGCCCAGTATTAACGTGTTATGTGAGAGTTGTCTTTCCCTAGCTAAAAGGCCCAGTATTAACGTGTTATGTGAGAGTTGTCTTTCCCTAGCTAAAAGGCCCAGTATTAACGTGTTATGTGAGAGTTGTCTTTCCCTAGCTAAAAGGCCCAGTATTAACGTGTTATGTGAGAGTTGTCTTTCCCTAGCTAAAAGGCCCAGTATTAACGTGTTATGTGAGAGTTGTCTTTCCCTAGCTAAAAGGCCCAGTATTAACGTGTTATGTGAGAGTTGTCTTTCCCTAGCTAAAAGGCCCAGTATTAACGTGTTATGTGAGAGTTGTCTTTCCCTAGCTAAAAGGCCCAGTATTAACGTGTTATGTGAGAGTTGTCTTTCCCTAGCTAAAAGGCCCAGTATTAACGTGTTATGTGAGAGTTGTCTTTCCCTAGCTAAAAGGCCCAGTATTAACGTGTTATGTGAGAGTTGTCTTTCCCTAGCTAAAAGGCCCAGTATTAACGTGTTATGTGAGAGTTGTCTTTCCCTAGCTAAAAGGCCCAGTATTAACGTGTTATGTGAGAGTTGTCTTTCCCTAGCTAAAAGGCCCAGTATTAACGTGTTATGAGAGAGTTGTCTTTCCCTAGCTAAAAGGCCCAGTATATACGTGTTAAAGTGTAGGAGAAGTCAGTATGTACCACATGTCGTTCCCACACTTTTATTTACATGTGGGCTGGATATGTAACAGGGATGGGTGATGTATTGTCCTACTGTCTGAACTGAATACCTGATATAATGTAATGTATTTCAAATACTCAGAGGTGATTTACACAAAGATATTTACCATAACAATCCCAGTAAAAAACAGAGATCATTTTTTCCATAAAGAAATATATTTTCATTTTCACACATAAAATTCATATTTATCAAAAAGCTGATTTAACACAATTATATGAAATAACAAGTTTTATTGATCACTTTTGTAAATGTTTGAATTTCATCTAAATTCATAAGCTTACAGCTTTATAATACCATAATTATTTTCAAGTAATATTTTCTATTACTTTTTTCCCCAGATATATCAACTTCCATTTTAACACATTTTTGTTTACTAAACAGTGCAAATTTACCTCCCTTGCAAATTGTTGTTCATTTCTTTTATCATTTGAATCGTTTCTGTATCATTTTTATTCTTGAATGCCCAACTACCGATTTTTATAAACAGAATAAGTAAAACAATGTAAACTATTGATAGCGAGAAATCACCACAAACGTGTTATCCAAGTTAACGTTGGTCTATGACCAGGCACATCTCGTCAGTGTAATTAATTAATTTCTGCTGTCTGGTAACTTAAAGGTTATCAATTTAACTTATAGAGACTTCCCTTATTATGCCCCCACTCACTTCTCCCCGTTATTGAGAACGACCATCAGAACAGTGGCATGTACATTTGTTGGTAATGGAACTATAACAAACAATACAAGGTAGAAAACTTTATCAACAGCCCTCAACTAACAACAGTTATTACACTTACTTAACATGTAACCTTATCAACAGCCCTCAATTAACAACAGTTATTACACTTACTTAACATGTAACCTTATCAACAGCCCTCAATTAACAACAGTTATTACACTTACTTAACATGTAACCTTATCAACAGCCCTCAATTAACAACAGTTATTACACTTACTTAACATGTAACCTTATCAACAGCCCTCAATTAACAACAGTTATTACACTTACTTAACATGTAACCTTATCAACAGCCCTCAATTAACAACAGTTATTACACTTACTTAACATGTAACCTTATCAACAGCCCTCAATTAACAACAGTTATTACACTTACTTAACATGTAACCTTATCAACAGCCCTCAATTAACAACAGTTATTACACTTACTTAACATGTAACCTTATCAACAGCCCTCAATTAACAACAGTTATTACACTTACTTAACATGTAACCTTATCAACAGCCCTCAATTAACAACAGTTATTACACTTACTTAACATGTAACCTTATCAACAGCCCTCAATTAACAACAGTTATTACACTTACTTAACATGTAACCTTATCAACAGCCCTCAATTAACAACAGTTATTACACTTACTTAACATGTAACCTTATCAACAGCCCTCAATTAACAACAGTTATTACACTTACTTAACATGTAACCTTATCAACAGCCCTCAATTAACAACAGTTATTACACTTACTTAACATGTAACCTTATCAACAGCCCTCAATTAACAACAGTTATTACACTTACTTAACATGTAACCTTATCAACAGCCCTCAATTAACAACAGTTATTACACTTACTTAACATGTAACCTTATCAACAGCCCTCAATTAACAACAGTTATTACACTTACTTAACATGTAACCTTATCAACAGCCCTCAATTAACAACAGTTATTACACTTACTTAACATGTAACCTTATCAACAGCCCTCAATTAACAACAGTTATTACACTTACTTAACATGTAACCTTATCAACAGCCCTCAATTAACAACAGTTATTACACTTACTTAACATGTAACCTTATCAACAGCCCTCAATTAACAACAGTTATTACACTTACTTAACATGTAACCTTATCAACAGCCCTCAATTAACAACAGTTATTACACTTACTTAACATGTAACCTTATCAACAGCCCTCAATTAACAACAGTTATTACACTTACTTAACATGTAACCTTATCAACAGCCCTCAATTAACAACAGTTATTACACTTACTTAACATGTAACCTTATCAACAGCCCTCAATTAACAACAGTTATTACACTTACTTAACATGTAACCTTATCAACAGCCCTCAATTAACAACAGTTATTACACTTACTTAACATGTAACCTTATCAACAGCCCTCAATTAACAACAGTTATTACACTTACTTAACATGTAACCTTATCAACAGCCCTCAATTAACAACAGTTATTACACTTACTTAACATGTAACCTTATCAACAGCCCTCAATTAACAACAGTTATTACACTTACTTAACATGTAACCTTATCAACAGCCCTCAATTAACAACAGTTATTACACTTACTTAACATGTAACCTTATCAACAGCCCTCAATTAACAACAGTTATTACACTTACTTAACATGTAACCTTATCAACAGCCCTCAATTAACAACAGTTATTACACTTACTTAACATGTAACCTTATCAACAGCCCTCAATTAACAACAGTTATTACACTTACTTAACATGTAACCTTATCAACAGCCCTCAATTAACAACAGTTATTACACTTACTTAACATGTAACCTTATCAACAGCCCTCAATTAACAACAGTTATTACACTTACTTAACATGTAACCTTATCAACAGCCCTCAATTAACAACAGTTATTACACTTACTTAACATGTAACCTTATCAACAGCCCTCAATTAACAACAGTTATTACACTTACTTAACATGTAACCTTATCAACAGCCCTCAATTAACAACAGTTATTACACTTACTTAACATGTAACCTTATCAACAGCCCTCAATTAACAACAGTTATTACACTTACTTAACATGTAACCTTATCAACAGCCCTCAATTAACAACAGTTATTACACTTACTTAACATGTAACCTTATCAACAGCCCTCAATTAACAACAGTTATTACACTTACTTAACATGTAACCTTATCAACAGCCCTCAATTAACAACAGTTATTACACTTACTTAACATGTAACCTTATCAACAGCCCTCAATTAACAACAGTTATTACACTTACTTAACATGTAACCTTATCAACAGCCCTCAATTAACAACAGTTATTACACTTACTTAACATGTAACCTTATCAACAGCCCTCAATTAACAACAGTTATTACACTTACTTAACATGTAACCTTATCAACAGCCCTCAATTAACAACAGTTATTACACTTACTTAACATGTAACCTTATCAACAGCCCTCAATTAACAACAGTTATTACACTTACTTAACATGTAACCTTATCAACAGCCCTCAATTAACAACAGTTATTACACTTACTTAACATGTAACCTTATCAACAGCCCTCAATTAACAACAGTTATTACACTTACTTAACATGTTACCTGATCAACAGCCGTCAATTAACAACAGTTATTACATTTACTGAACATGTAACCTTATCAACAGCCCTCAATCAACGACAGTTATTACACTTACTTAACATGTAACCTCATCAACAGCCCTCAATTAACAACAGAATATATTTTTTTTTTTATAAGGACATATAGCATTAAACAAATGTTACGAATGGAAGGTTCACTGGCGACACGTTCAGCAGGTGACCGACTCTACTAGGCAGACATCCTGGGGTGGCAGGTCTTATACAGGGTCAAGTAAACATTTCAAATATCTACTGTGAAAAAATAAAGATAGGGTTAATAGAATTTTTCAAATTCTGCCTGCAGGCTATTTAATACTCTATACATGACACCAAACATTGGCTGGCCATATGTTTCTGTAACTGGAGTATACACCATCATGTGTCTGCTATATACATTGTCCATGGTCCTAGTGACCATACATACAGGTACAATATAATGCTGATGATGATGATGATGAAGAGGAGGAGCCCCTATATGATGGCTCAGTGTTACTGTGACACATGTACCAGCTGCCACCCATCACATGTACAATTTCTATCTCCAACCTAGACCTGCTGAGTCACTTATACATGTATAACAGGACATTTATATTGACAAATACGTTAACTGTCAGAGACAACAGGCTTTTATTTTGGATTAAATCCTGTCATACATGTCTGTATTTTTATGCTATTAGTGGCTCTGGAAATGTTGATACTCACCTGTCTGAGATGGTTTTTCAGTATAACACTCACCTGTCTGAGATGGTTTTTCAGTATGACACTCACCTGTCTGAGATAGTTTTTCAGCATGGTACTCAACTGTCTGAGATGGTTTTTCAGCATGGTACTCACCTGTCTGAGATGGTTTTTCAGCATGGTACTCACCTGTCTGAGATGGTTTTTCAGTATAGTACTCACCTGTCTGAGATGGTTTTTCAGCATGGTACTCACCTGTCTGAGATGGTTTTTCAGCATGGTACTCACCTGTCTGAGATGGTTTTTCAGCATGGTACTCACCTGTCTGAGATGGTTTTTCAGCATGGTACTCACCTGTCTGAGATGGTTTTTCAGCATGGTACTCACCTGTCTGAGATGGTTTTTCAGCATGGTACTCACCTGTCTGAGATGGTTTTTCAGCATGGTACTCACCTGTCTGAGATGGTTTTTCAGCATGGTACTCACCTGTCTGAGATGGTTTTTCAGCATGGTACTCACCTGTCTGAGATGGTTTTTCAGCATGGTACTCACCTGTCTGAGATGGTTTTTCAGCATGGTACTCACCTGTCTGAGATGGTTTTTCAGCATGGTACTCACCTGTCTGAGATGGTTTTTCAGCATGGTACTCACCTGTCTGAGATGGTTTTTCAGCATGGTACTCACCTGTCTGAGATGGTTTTTCAGCATGGTACTCACCTGTCTGAGATGGTTTTTCAGCATGGTACTCACCTGTCTGAGATGGTTTTTCAGCATGGTACTCACCTGTCTGAGATGGTTTTTCAGCATGGTACTCACCTGTCTGAGATGGTTTTTCAGCATGGTACTCACCTGTCTGAGATGGTTTTTCAGCATGGTACTCACCTGTCTGAGATGGTTTTTCAGCATGGTACTCACCTGTCTGAGATGGTTTTTCAGCATGGTACCCTCTGGCTCAGGAAATGGTGGGATGTCTTCAAGCTTCCCCATCGTCATCTGTAACCAAACCACAAATTATCAAAACAAATTGATTTTATCATTTTATTCAAACTTAAAAACCTAATGAGCAATAAAACTAATTAATAATGGAATCAAATTTTCTTTAATTTCTAACAATTAAGTATTTCAAAGCATTTAAAATTTTAGAAATTTAGACATAGATGTTTCTTTTTTTTCTAACTGCAGGATTCCCTTAAAAAACAGTGGTCCCCGGAGGTGTTTTTCTTCATTCACTACGTACTGTTCTTTTTTTACTTTCTGTTGTTCCAAACAATTTGTTGGGAGATCGAAGAGGTGAGTTGAATAAAGATCTAAGATTTGTGTGTTAATGTACTGGGTACAGAATGTATAGTAGTAATCACATTGGCACCAGCTATAAAAGGCTGGAACGATGTGAAGAGCCATTCTAGGCAACTTCACAAATCAGTGACCAGTTCAGACCAAACAAAACTATACGGGAAAAAATATATATACACCAAAACTATACAGGAGGAAATATATACACACCAAAACTATACAGGAGGAAATATATATACACCAAAACTATACGGGAGGAAATATATATACACCAAAACTATACGGGAGGAAATATATATACACCAAAACTATACAGGAGGAAATATATATACACCAAAACTATACAGGAGGAAATATATATACACCAAAACTATACGGGAGGAAATATATATACACCAAAACTATACGGGAGGAAATATATATACACCAAAACTATACAGGAGGAAATATATATACACCAAAACTATACAGGAGGAAATATATATACACCAAAACTATACGGGAGGAAATATATATACACCAAAACTATACGGGAGGAAATATATATACACCAAAACTATACAGGAGGAAATATATATACACCAAAACTATACAGGAGGAAATATATATACACCAAAACTATACGGGAGGAAATATATATACACCAAAACTATACGGGAGGAAATATATATACACCAAAACTATACAGGAGGAAATATATATACACCAAAACTATACAGGAGGAAATATATATACACCAAAACTATACGGGAGGAAATATATATACACCAAAACTATACGGGAGGAAATATATATACACCAAAACTATACAGGAGGAAATATATATACACCAAAACTATACAGGAGGAAATATATATACACCAAAACTATACGGGAGGAAATATATATACACCAAAACTATACGGGAGGAAATATATATACACCAAAACTATACAGGAGGAAATATATATACACCAAAACTATACAGGAGGAAATATATATACACCAAAACTATAC